GGGGATAACATAGTCCTCGACACCACCATGACGCTTATCGATCGGGATCACATAGTCCTCGACGGAGCTGCGCTTTGTCGATGGGGATGGCGTAGTCTTCGACGGCACCGTTGCGCTTGTCAATGGGGATCACGTAGTCCTCAACTGAGGACCTCTTGTCGATAGGGATCACGTAGTCCTCCACAGAGCCACGCTTATCGATGGGGATGACGTAATCCTCGACGGATGAACGCTTGTCGATTGGGATGACATAGTCCTCGACGGCATTGCTCTATGTACCCAGTCAGGTTAGTATCAGTCAATTTCAAGTCATGAGCCTGCTGTCGTGAGAGACTGACCTTGGCAACAGGAGCGGCAAGGACGCTAACGCAGAAAGCTGCGATCAGGACAGAACTCGAGTACTTCATGATTGCGGTTGTGTGCCGACTGGAGGTGGTTGTGGGGACAGTTTCAAGGGCGTAATAAGTCTAGGCGTCTGTCTTTTGTCTGGTGATAAGGCGTGTGTGACTGAGTAATTGCTAACGACTGGACTGTCAGGACGATTCCATGATCACTTATACCCAAAAAGCTTTGCTTCATTCTTTGCCGACTCCAATCGTGGCGCCTCCGACTCAGCTTAGACCGCTTCAACAAGCTCCTCGCCAGATAGCGTCTCGACCATCACGCTGTCGATCCCGCGAGCCGAACGCAACTACAAGCGCCGCACAAAACGGAACGCTTTCCAGATCCGCTTCGAGGATCAACCACCAAAGAATGTGCTTTCGAGCCGCTGTACACAGCATCCTCGTTGTATTCGTCAAAGTTACAGCGCATGTCGTGAGCATGGGTTTGAGCCGCGCCTGCAAAATTGGGTGCTCATGGTAATACCTGGGGAACATCATTTTCACCAGACTCCCTCACGTCTACCATCAGCCTGACAACCCAAGGTACGTTCTAGTGGATCCGTCGATGTAAACATTGGATTTGCTTCTGATTGGTGCACGTATTTTACCTCGCTTTCACCCTTCGTCTCGCATTTGGCGCTGCTCAAGCGCCGCGCTTCTAGTAATTCCTAACATCAGGTTACTACCATCAGGCTCAGTAAGCCAGCGCCTCGCTCCAAGCAACAGCTATGGTGGAAGGGCGCTCGAATTTGCCAGACTGTCACAGTTTGAGAGAGAATCCTGAGGTCAGGCGGGTCTCACTACCTCGTCGAGGCGGACGGCGTCACAGTCCGATTTTCCCATTCCATTAGCGGTGTTTTAAGCGCCCCCCCCCTATGATTCCATTGGAAGGCCTATTTTCCTGTCTTCGAGTGAGGACCGGAAATTCCGTTCAAGAGCTCCAAGCGCGAGTCTCGCTGGACATGTGTTGGGAGTGAGGCAGTGCCGCGGACTCTGGACAGCGGCCGAATGCTGGTACAGAGCTTTGCGCGCTCAGATATGGCCCTCACAGTCATGCAAGTGCACATAGTGGCTCATATCAACAGCCTTGGTAATGAGTGGAGGCCGAAGCAGCAGTATCTGAGTGTGGTTATAATTTTTCTGATTACCCAAGGTCAGAGAGGGGGACATGCAGAGCCGGACCATACTGTTTGCTTTCATCTTGGTCCTCTTACTGCCGAGGTTGAGATACAGTGTGGTCGCCAACCAGCTGGGACGGTCAGTGACTCGCCAGTAATTGATTTAATATTTACACCGAGAAGTATCTGGTTTTTGATCATAAAAATCAAGTGAAGCCATGGGGTAGAGTACCCGTAGCCAGTCCATCCGTTCTACGGAATTCGGAAAGTTTCTTTTATACTCTTCTGCACTCGTCCAAATGAACTCAAACTCATATGTCTACTGGAAGTGCTCATATTTTCTTTCACAGGTACCCCGAACGATGAGCCCAGTGGTTCCTCAACCAGATTTTCGAGCAACTAAGTAAACAACAACCCCAAGTTTGACCTTTGCATAACTTCCCTCCAGTCAACTCTTACCGACGAGGAGAGCGACTGATTTCTTCCACCGCCACTACTCTCCCCGGACATAAAGTCCGATCCTCTTTTTACTCCATCAACTTGCCTCCAGCATTCTTCAACAATGGCCTTCAACTCCCTCAAGCTTCCCAGGGTCGAGTCAACACTCGACAACCGTTCAGGGGCCAAGAATTGTTCGAAGACTTCTCGTTGCTTTCCCGTTGCAAGACTCGCGCAAACACAATAAGGCCAAGCCAGGCTCCTTGGGCTTATGGACTCGGGCAGCATCTTCCACACCGGAATGGAACGCTCAATGCTTTCGCTTATCTCGGGCACACTGGCCAGCGGTCCGGACACAATGGCGTGCAAGTGAGTGAGCAGAGCGTAAGCAAAGACCAGGCTTTGGAGGCGTTTCTCGCTACCACTCCCTTCCAAACGTTGGATTCCATCTTCGAGTGTTTTTTCCAGCCTTGAGGCGCGATTGACCAGTTCTCTAATACTCAAATTGCCCTGGTTTTCTTGATCTCTCTTCCATACTTCGAGAGCTGTGGCGTCCATTATCGCTACAAGGATCCATGGCTCACAACCTGTGGTAGACTGGAAGGAGGTGGAGAAAGAGGGAGAAGAGTCGAGAAGCTCCCGGTAGCAGGGGGCCGCAGTAGGGACCTTCTTGAGGGAGGAGGACGAGAGAATTTCATTCCAAATCAGGATGGCACGAAAGAAGGAAAGGGCTGTCCGTTCCATAGGAGACAGACCAGGTGGTGCTGGGCTGCTGGTACCCGATGAGAGACTTGCGTGCTGTTGCTGGGACTGAGCTGGAGAAGATGATGTGTTGGTCCCGCTATCACACATTGAGGGCTGGCGCAGATCATCGAGGAGGATTTGGACTGCCGAAGCGAGGTAAGAGTGGCAGCTTTGCATGTTTTTTCCTAGTGCCTGGGATGGAAGTCAACATCAACACCTGGAACATCACGCTTGATTATTGGCTTAGCCTACTCACCTCCAAAAGGGCAAGCTGCACCGAGCATATCAGACTTTCGCCAAAGACTGCCCCCGAACGTGGTCGGTTAGGATTCATCAGATCACAGAAGCTGTCCAAGGCTTGCGCCCTGTGTGATTGGTAGTCATGGACGGCTGCAGCGCGAGCATCACTATGCCCAGCGAGGGACAGTGACATGTGATAGGCGCTCATGCTGAGGGAAGCGTGATAAAAGGTCGGTGACCTCATCAACAGGAAGAGCGCCCAACTTCTCTGCGTTGCTGATGACGAACGATATGAGCCGTGTTGCAACGGACATGTCTCGCCAATGAAATGCATGACCAACTCGATATCATTTTCAGAGGTTGGAGGGCCATGCATACCCGAACCATTACTGTCCCCCAAGCAGGAGAGACTGAGCGGTGTTGGAATTTGTGGTGGTTGCTTGGAGTGGATGGGAGCTTCAGTAAGACTCTGGGGTGCTGCGGACTCCAATGGTGAGATATCAACCATGGCTGCATCCGCGTTGCATTGGATCGCCCAGACATCGTCGTTGTAAGTAGCTGTGAGGGAATCAGGGGCTATCGTCAAAGCATCGAGGAATTCGAACTCTATCGCTGCGTTTTGCTCATGCCCTGAGGAAGGAGACAGCGGGAATGAAAAGTTGGACGACAAGAATGGCGAGAGCGAAGGTGACTGAGCGGGTCGGATATGAGGGCTACCGATGTCGGCAGTGCCCCCGGAGGATGTCGACGCTTCTGATACGGATGGGTGAGAGGCATGGCTTTGAGTCGCAGTTGACCTTCGACGTCTTCGTGTTTGGAGTTGAAGTCTGTTTGCCTCTTCTCTTTCCTTGTCTCCTCTATCTTTCCAGTTGGGTTTGGGACCGTAACCATGGCAGAAGATGCCTCGAGATTCGCAGTTCGAGCAGGGTGGCCCACCTTCGAGGCACTTTTTGCGGCGCAGACGACAAGTCCAACATCCACTTTTACTGCGTTGTCCTGAAGGCATTGGAGGAAGGAGAAGGACAATTTGAACAAGCGTAAGCCCAAGATTACCCCGTCAGCTTGTTGTGAGATGCTGCTAGTGGCGGCGGATGACGAGTAACGGCTTGCGGAGTGGGTGGGAAGGCCCAAAGTCTGGTGTAACTGAGCTAGTGCTCTGAGACCAAGACAGAGGTTTGAGGACGGGGACACTGGTGGGTAGGGTAAGACTGAAGAAACCCGAACAGGATGAATTAATGACAATGAGGCAAGTGTCCCAATTGCCTCTAAGATTGGGAGAAGGAAAACAAGGGCAGACCGATGCCTTCTTTCATTTTCATCCCGACTCCCCTTAACCTGTCTCAACCTGGGAACCCTCTGGAAGCCCAGAGAGGAATATACGGTCAAGACCGGAGCACTGATTTGTTGACATCCAAACAGGGTGATTCGAAATGCTGCAGCAGTGAAGAAGAACATCGGCCACCAAGATGAGAATCCGAGCCTACCAAGACCGGATCCTCAGTGGTAGTGATCGACATTGCGGCACAGCTGAAAGCTGGGAATCTCCCAAAGCCTTCCGGGAACGGTAACCCCCCACCGTGGACTACAGAGACACGACATGAACTTTTCCCGATGACCTTCTCAGAAAGGCAAGGGATCCTTGATCGGAAGATCCAAGAGGTTCAGTTTGGGTTTTCCGGGCGGGCGGATGGCTAGAAGAAAGCATGGAGGTCCCTAGCAATGGGACTCGCATCATGCATCGTGATCGAGGAGGTGGTGGCTAACGCATGTTCGTCGCCCGACCAGTTGTACGCAGTAAGTGCTCCTGGGGCTGTTTCAAGAAGCAGGCCTTCGGAGATCGCTGTTGGGTAACACTGAAAGGTAACTGCTAAGCTTTTGCAGTCGGCGACCCGCAGGATCATGGCCGATTTCCGCCTGGTACAAGTGTCCAGCTTTGGTGGGAGGCGTACACATTACGCGTCCTATCCGAACTCTGAATGCTAATGTCTGTTCGTATTTACTGATGGGAATTTTCGAGATCTTGACACTTGCCAGAGCCATCCCAATGACATGTTATTGATATCTCACATGCAAAGCTTTTGAGGGAGAAAAGGAATGGGCCTCCTTACGCAACACGCAAGAGGTCTCGGTTATCGGTTGCTTGTGAAGATCGGGGGAGAGAACCAGGAACGTCATATACTAAGTTATGCCGTCTAGTCCGCCAAGTTCTCGATTCCATTCATGGAGACTACCGAGATCGCAGGCGCACATCTGTAGATCCCGGGCGGGTGATCTTCTCGTGCTATTGGCCGAATTCTGGCACTAAGACGGCTAGATGCCGAGCCAACAAGCATTGTCCAGGCCCAGCCTAGGGATAGGCGCGGAGGGAACCCCGGTGTCAAGGTATGGTAGTTCAGTACACTAGATGGAGGAGACTCTGAGACAGCAGCCCCAGGGGACCGATTCACTAGTGGTGTCTAGCGACGGCTAACGCGCAACTTTGCAGATTACGGGTCCAAGTATGCACTTTACGCCAACTATGATCGTTCCAAAACCAGAGTGGGATTAAATATACTTATCAATGACCTCATCGAGTCTACGAGTACCGTATTGACCATCAGAACCAGCCCGCGGGGTGGTGGTGGGATATGGACTTTCGCCTACCCATCACGGTCGGGAGATATAGGAAAGGTATGTATCTAAGTTCAGTCGCTCGACTGTGGTGCCCTTTACATACATACTTGTACGCTCAACCATACCATCAAGCTCGGATCCATCGGTGTCGTGTTCCCCTCCACCTCGTCGAAACACACACCTGTTCAACCTACACGAAACATGTGTCTCGGTAAGAGAGGTAACCGAATTCCTTCCCCGCCTCCGGGCTGACAATAAGCTATCTAGCTAGCTTGAACCACAACCACTTTGAGCTTTGCCCACAGCATCACATTTGAGTCCTGGGCAAGGGTAGGTAGTCCATGTTGTCCACGACCAGTTGTCATGCAAAGTGGCGCTGAGGCGGCTCACGGTGTTACCCGCTATTCACGCCACCATTCCATTCAAAGGGCGCGGACACTATGCCTGCCTAGGCTTTCGAGGATTGACCGTGGAACACCCAGATTCATGGGACCCTTGTGCAACAGATTAGTAGCAACTCTGAGCAATACCACCGCATATGAAATACTGAGACATGCTTCCAATCCTTCTGTTGTACACTTGGGATAGAGTTGCCGTGGACCCTTCATGTTGTGCTTCGACAATTTTTACGTGATAATATCCTTGATGGAGGATGTAATGGAAGGATCTAAGGTATGTAACTCTGGTTTTGTACACTATCACATTTTGTGTGATGCGGTGCGGGAGATGCCGTACCACGGAAATCACCAAGCTTACCAAGCGGAGCCTGGCCCGGAGCCGAACGGGGGTGACCGGGTGCCACCCCGATGGCCCGATCTCGATATGCCGCAAAGCGGGGCGCCCGGCCCGTTGCGGGAAGGTCCGTGGGGGACGTCACAGCTGGAGATGATGCAAGATGACTTAAGTGAACCCAAGAGAACTATGGAAACTCAGCACCAGCAGCCCTTTTTAGTGTATAGGTCGCTACGGGTATCTCTGGGATGGGGAGTAAACCCAATTTCTCCACTGTCACTTACCAGTTCCGCGTTTCTAGTAGAGCGTTGCATTTTGGTATCTTGCATACCTATGTTAGTATGTAGAAAGAGGTATCATGCAAGACAAAATCATTAGTTCTACTCCTCCTCTTTTAATTAAGGAGCAGACCATGGAGACGAAACAAGCAAGCAAGACGGGTGAAGTGCCTACGTAGTAAAGGAAGAGAGGCAAAGAGCGGGGAAGAGGGGAGGGAAAGGAGCGGTGAACGTCTGTATGTAGGGACTTTGTGTGAATGCATATGTAGTTTTTAGTGGTTTTGTGAGACACGACATGAGTGAGGGTGGGCAATGACGATGCCCATATCATAGCTCGAGCATGGGTAAGTAAGTAAGTATACTTGAGGCTGGTACGTACCACCTTGGTACTGTGTAGAAGCGTGGAGGCGCTGGCTGCTACGTTACTTGCGCGGGGAGTAGACGAGGGGAGATGGGAGGGAGGACAGACAGAAGACAAGAGAAGGATTCGAAGATTTTGGATCGGGTCGAACTCCGGTTTCTAGTACTGTGGTATGCAACAATCTAGTCAGCCAGCCGGTTGAGTGTCAGGATTTTCGATCTTTAAAGTTGGAACTAGAAAGACAAGAAGAGATGAACTTGAGGCGAGGTGAATTGAGATGAGTTAGGTAACTATTCGCAGCTACTCATTTTTAAAGCCATTTTTTCCCTAGGTACTCAAGGTCCAAAATAAAAGGGGAAAAAGTTTGTGCCGTTCCGTCGTGTTCCCTCCCACCCCGCGCTCGCAAGTACATGAACTATGATTGTGCTACCCAACGATGGAAACACCATGCGTGAAATGTGAATGTGTCCCCCCATCCCAACCTAACCCAACCAGACCAGACCAGAACAGACCGGACCGTCTTGGCATCAAGGCACCATTTGTATTTGTAACAGTAAACTTAACCTACGTAACCTGTATTCATATCATGGAATCTTTTAATACGTGTCAACCCTGCTTACTACTTACTGCCTCCCATCCATCCATCCATCCATCCTATTCCTGCTTTCACCACCTTGTACTGTACCTCTCCATTCCACGGTTTCCCCATATGTACCTCTAGCTAGGTAGGTACCTACAGCACATGAATGAAAAGAAAAAAGAAAAAAACTAATGAATAACCTTCCACTCCCTAAACCGATGTTTCTCAGCCCACTCAAACACCTGCTGGAAATTCCTGCACGTATGCTGATACCCCCACCCCGTGCTGCCCGATTCATCGGGCGGCGTGATCCATTCCAGAGTGGTGTCGGCGTTGCACATGATTCCTTGCCGCAGGTAGTCCCAGCAGTGCATCAGGTGCGGGGTGTTGATCTCGTCGAGGGAGCCGGATTTGGCGGCGAAGTAGCCGGCGCGGGTCATGTACTGTTTTTTGGTATTAGTGTTTGTTTGCTGGGTGGTAAGAGGGGAGGATGCGGAAAATGGGGAGGATGCTAGGGAAGTGGGAGGATGGTAGGAAAATGGGATAGGCAGGGAAACGGAAGGGGAGGGGAACTGGGGAAGGGGAAAAGGGGAAGGGGAAAAGGGGAAGGGCAAGGCAAAAAGACTTACGAGACAGTGTAGTTGGTGAAAAACAGTAATCATAGCATGCTGCTCCTTCTTCGTCTTATCCAGCCTGGGAAGATCAGGTAACGCTTCGGCTGTTTCGTTGGGAAGAACTATGAATCCCTTTCCTTCTGTTGTGTTGTTGTCATCTTGTTAGCCACTTTATCATTTGCCACAATCGCAAAGACTGAGCGGGAAGGGACAGAAGAAGCCTACTAGGAATCATAGCAGTCCAAGCCTGGTCCACCTCCTCACTTGGTTCCGCGCCATAGATAGTCTGGAACCGGAAGATTTCCGTGCGGAAATCTACTTGGGGTTCCCATGGTGGTTGCTCTGGGAATTTGTTTGCTTGTTCGGTCCCTGATGTTGCTCCTGCTGGTGATGTCCTCGTTGTCGTCGTCATCGTTGTTATCGGCCGTAAAGTAACTGCCACCAAGGCCGCTAGCAAAAGAACGTTGGATAGGGCAAGAAAGAAGGTGGTGCAGGGCAAACTCAGGATCGCGAGTTTGCTTCTTCTCATCTTCTGGCTTTTCTGGGGCGGGGGGAAATGGGTGCGGATGCCGGACTCAAGGAGGTTTTCCTTTTCTTCCATGTCGTCGTCGGGGATGCCTGAACGGGAGCCGGAGCCGGAGCCGGAGGACCGGAGGGTGCTTTGGTCGTCTCTGTATTGGTCCATCATGTCGTTCCTGGTGGTATGTCTGTTCCGGCCTTGTGTGTCTCCGGGAGTTCAGTCGCCGTGGGAAACACAGGATGGAAACTTCAGAAGGGAGAATCACCTAGCCAAGGGAAGCCAGCAATGTCCGGCCTGATGGTTATGGTCCGTACCGCCTCCATCCCTTGAATCATTTCCAGATGTAACCAACTGTTGTGGTGATGAGTGGAGGATTTGCTAGGCGGGGCTTCCGGTCCAGGGCGCGCCCCGTGTCGCGGGACGCTTCGGTCGTTGGCGGTCACCCCGGCGCCCATGGGCAGCGCTGCCGCCGTTGGTTTAGTGGACTTCGCGGATCGCTATCGCCGGATCGTCAGCGCCCTCAGTCAGCGCTTCACATGGGTGGTTATAGCGCGGCGCCGGCGTTCCGTGGTCGCGGATCCCGGTCTTTGGCGCAGTCGCTGTCGGCGCTCTCCTCGTGGCGCCATCACCGAGTTCCGCGCCAAACCGACGCGAGCCATGGCGTTCCCGTCCACTTGCGCTGTTCTTAGGTGGCCTGGTTGACGTGTAATGATGTCTCTATTGGGCGATGACGCGATCGGACGTGTTGCTGGTGATGGATGCTGGAATACGATCTTCTCGCGGTTGAGTTCTGGATGCCATGTTTCTGGGAAGACCGGAGGGCCCGCAAGTAGACAATCGACGCCCCACTTTTAGTGCATTTCGTGCAAGTGTTAGCGTTAGTCAGAACCCCGAGTTTCGCCGCATACAGGCATCATTCACTAACATGCCTCTTGGCAGACACCACTGTTGCGCTGGGCTATCCCGGGATTCCCATTCAGCGCCTTAGCAACAACCACCAATGCATGGCCCGACGACAACATTCATGATGTTGTTCCCAATACTACTATCACTGGTATCAGCCGTAGCAGCGCAGCACATCTCAAACACACAAAGTGAGGTGGCTACCGGCAGTGCTTGTTCACAGATAGCCCACTCCTACGAATCCTGGTCCAAGAACGGCGGTAAGTGAAAGCCCTTGCCTGCACATTGCTTTGTTCCCCTCATGAAGCTGACCCCTTGATACCTCTAGGCCATGGAGACTTCACCAACATCCCAGGACAAACAGCCTACGGCTGTCTGATGTCCATGCCCTTTGACTCCGAACGGGCAGTTCAGTTCCTGGATGAATACCTGAAATACCTTCAATTCCAGTCAACTCTGGATTCTCTCAAACGTAAGTTCCTCACACACACAAGACTGCCCTTTGTTCAATGAACTCTCATTGACAGATCAATAGACCCAACACCCGGTTACATAACCCCCTCCATCGATCTCCTCAAAGGCTTTTCCAAAATCCGCAAGAAAGCCGAGACAAGCATCTACAAAAGCCAATACGAGTTCGACAACGATGTCAAGACCCTCATCCACCGCGCCAACGAAGGACACCTGGAAATCCATCTCTGCTCTCACCAAGTCTTCCGCTTCCACCGCAGTCCTCCTTTGGTCTCGCTCTCTTCTGACGGACTTGAGTTACCCGAGATCTACACCTGGAACGATGCAAGGTTACTCCATTCCGGCTTTCCCAGCGTTTCCCACCTCACTGAAATTAACGGCGTAGACGCCACTTACTTCCTCCAAGCCCACCTAGGCATAACATTCGAATACCACGACCCCGACACCCGGTACAATCACCTGTTCCCTTTCCCGGGAACCAATTCACTGGCTTTTTTATGGGGGGTGGGTGGGTGAGTTATCAAGGTCTTTGGCCAGGAGACGCCCAGTATAGCCTCAAGTTCAGCAATGGTACGACACTCAACGTCTCTACGGCCGCTATCTGGCCAGGAACAAATGGACCGATGAATTACACCGATGGCGAGACTTTGTTAAAAGCAGCTTGCATACCGGGGTATGAGCCGTCGCTGATGACTTTCTCTGACCCCAACGTTCTACCACCACCGAGACATATCGATGGGCAAGGGCCGCCGCCAAGTAAAGAGGGTGTCTACCCTGATCCTAGGGTGCGTGACGAGAGGGATGCGATACGGGGGTATTATCTTGATACCCTCGAAAATGACACGGCGGTGTTGCAAATTTCCACGTTCCAACACACGGGCGGTATCATGTTTTCGCAAACCACCCTGGACTTCCTCACGCGTGCTTCTAGGGACGATAATAAAACCAAGTTGATACTGGATCTATCAGGAAATAACGGTGGAGATGTGATTCCCGGTTTCAACATGTTCAAGATCTTGTTTCCTGATTTACCTGTTCGCACGGCTACGAGGTTTCGGGCGACGGAACTGGTTAAGCTGGTGGGCAAGGTTTATAGTGAGGTTCACAAGGATGTTGAGGAGAGGAAAGAAGTGCCGATTGATCCCCCTTTTGTTGCCAGCGTGGCCGTGGGACCGGGTCAAGAGAGAGTATTTGGGCAGTGGGAAGAGCTTTTCGGGCCGGAGATGGCAGAAGGGAGCGGGAATATGTCCAACCTGCTTGCCCATTTTGACCTCGACTTGGCTTCAACCACCACGGACCCTATCTATGGTTACGGCGCCTTTACGTTTATGACCAAGGACAGGCGCCCGTTTAAGGCTGAGGATATTGCTGTTGTAGGTTCCTTTTCTCCCCTGTATGTCCTTCATGGTTCCCTGTCCCTACCTATTCTCCCGATTCCCGCCGCCTCCTCACTCATTCATTCTCTCCTTTCTTCTGCCACCCCCCCCCCCCCCCTAGCTCCCCCAATCATCCCTATCTTCTTAACTCTCATCCCCCTGTTCCCAAACTAACAACCACCCTTTGAACAAAAAGATAACAAACGGCCAATGCGCCTCAACCTGCGCCCTCCTCATCTCCTTGCTCCGTCGCCAGGCAAGTGTGCGCACCCTCGTCTTTGGCGGCCGTCCCCGATACGCACCCATGCAAGCAGTAGGAGGTGTAAAAGGGGGACAGTATTGGTCTCTTGGTACTGTCTACCGACATGTGTCGAAGGCTATTGAGTTGGCTACCAACGCTACTCTTGCTGGCCGACCGGTGTTAACGGATGAGGAACTTGAGACGTTGAAAGAGTTGGGGCCTGTTGATCCCAATCCTGGAGCTGCGGGCGATGGTGGGTTCCCGCTGAGGATGGGATGGAGGGGAGAGGGAGGGGTGAATTTTAGGGATTTGTATTATCTTGATGAAGGAGAGGGAGAGGATGTCGGTGATGAAGCCGAGAATGCTAACGAAAAAGGGGACGAAGCCAGAGAAACCAAACATAGTCACGAGCGGAAGAAGAAAGAAGAGGGAGAGGGAGAGGGAGAGGGAGCGAGTAAAGGCACAGTTCCGGCGCAGTTCATCTACGAGCCGGCGGAGTGTAGACGGTTCTTTACGGTGGAAATGATGTTTAGACCGGCGAAGATGTGGGAGGTGGCGAGGGAGGTGATGTTTGGGGATGGAGAGTGTGTTAAGGGCTCGGAAACTGGCGATGGCTCTGGGAATGCAGAGGGGCGGAAGCCAAAAAGATAGATACAGGTGCTAGCCTGGATCAATGTAAAAAGACATGCCACCTTTCTTCTTTTCCATCGCTGCTTGCGGTTCTTCTTTTCTTCTTTTTTTGTCACTAGCCTTAGGCGCACATGGAGACCAAAGTGTTACTCTCGGATCTTGCTCTCCGCGTATGTCAGGGAACTGACATTGGTGAATTACGTGAATAGGTGAAGGATTACGCATTTGTTGACCAGAGACACACCGAGTTTTCCCTATCACCTTCCTATTATAGGTATCTATTTTGCTCATTCTCCCATCTTTCCTCCCCGCGAGAGCATCACCAGCAAATCGCCCTTCACCAGGGGACTAGGAATCCATCGGCCTCCCCACGTCATTGCCGCCACTACTCGGCCTCGATAGAAACTACCCAAGGTATTCGATGAAACAGATGGCACTGGCATGAACGTATTCCTTTGAGTAGTTACTCACCACGACTTAAAGCAATGCATACCTATCACCTAGTCCATCTCCATCTTTTTATAACTTGCGATTATTCTACCTTTCAGGTGGTGGCCACTCAAGGTGTTCGCCAAAATGGGCCTTTGTTGTGTTTGGGCACGGGTCTATAGGTGCAAGCTTTCAACGTCTAATTTGTGGTCTGTTAGCAGAGCGGGAAGAGACCGTGGGGGTGAGGGAGTTATAACTGTGAGCTCAGCGGTACTGGTCAACCTCTCATGATCACAGGTTCGATTTCCTGTCCGGGTTACTTTTTTTTGTCATTTCTGCCCCTCTTTTTTCAACATATATCTCATCCGATGTGGATCGATTGTCTGTTGACTCGAGGTCCGCGTATAAGGGTGAATTCTCCTTCCTTCTTCCCTTCACTTCCCGTACCTCCGCGTCTCCAGTACTTACTTTAGTGTGTACTCTTACATCTGCTGCTCGACGTCAGCAACCCCAGCATTCTCCGCCACCCAATCCCTGATCCTCTCAAAATCCCTGCACTTCTTCTTGATATTGAAATCACTCTTACTGCCTCCCCTTCGGGTTTCATCCTTCAAGAACACCACGGGCGTCACATCAGCCGTGCACATGATGGCCTTACGAATCGTCTCGATGCAGTGATCGATGTGGCCCCTTACCACTTCCTGAGGAGCCCGGAAGGCAGTGACGTTGCTGTAGTCGTATGAGTCGCGGTAGGTGTATTGGCGAACTAGATTCAGACAGTGTAGTTGATGGAAGACGTCCAGAAACCCCATCATTTCGCCGCCGTATTTGGGCGCGAAGTGGGCGTAGTTGCTCGCAGGGGTTTTGTTGAGGAGGGGCATTTTCTCTTCGGGGAAGTGGATTGTTGGCACTGACGTCGGATTTCCGTCGTCAGCATCTGTCTCTTCTGTAGAAAAATTTCCCAAGTGAACAAGGGACATGGAAGTACTCACTCCTCCACAGCTTCACCCAAGCCTCCTCCACCTCCGGTGTTGGATGCCCGCGATAAGGTGAGGGCTGCATGAGGTGGTTCTGGTCTGTATACTCGACATACTGAAGGTCTTTTGTTTCTAGGTAGGGAGCTGGTTTGATCGTTAGAGTCCTCGCACGCAATACATCGCTGCACCGGACAATACTCACAATACGGCGATAACTTCCTTGCACATGTAAGTTCGGTTGGGCCTTTCCATGTGATCACGACCGCATAGGCAGCCAGAAGTGTGATCATTATGGCTTGGGAGATGACGACGGCCGGATGTGATAGTATTGAGCCTCTCTGACGTCTGGTGAAGCCCGCTGACCACAGGGAGCTTGGCGAGTTCGATCGGGGTGGTGTCCCGTTTTCAGAATCTTCGACGGGATCATACTTGACTTCTTCAAGGTCCCTGTTTGCTGTTGTGAATAGCTTTTTGAAGATGTTCATCTTGGGGTTATGGACTGATACTGAAATTGAAGCTGGGGAATAGGGAGCCGGTGAGGTTGGTGATGTGGTGCGACGTCGTTTGCAATTAGTCAAGATATCGTGAAGGATAATGGAATTGCTATCGCAGCAAACTCAAGAAGGTACCCAATTTCTGAATACTGATTCTTCATTGTCCAAGGTTGATCATTGGGGGACTACTTCCTGGTGGACGATCGTATGTATCTAGCGCTGCCGTTGCTGGCGTTGTCCAGGTCGTTCGTTGCGCCAAATTTCCCTTTTCGGAACATGCGCTTCGCACCAGTGAGCCACTCAGACGTCGTACACTGCACGCATTCCAGACTTTTGCACCATGACAGGGCAATGTAAATCGCTCATATGGAATTCAATTTGGGAAATACGGTTCACGAAACGAACATTGTGGCAAGAGATTTGACACAACAGTGTTTTGGAATCCCCGGAACCATTCAGCTCCTCAGCACTTGACCCTAACCCTGACCATTCCCTTCCAACCAAGAGCCTGACGACAACTTCAAACTCAAGGCATGCATCGGGACATTGGCAGCAACTCACTAATTCCTTCCAGAAGATATTGAGGAAGAGTATGAGGATAACCTATTAATAGCTGCATCATCCGAGCTTGATTTAGAGTCCGATGCCTTCATCCAGACCCATCGCGAAAGGTCATCATCTTCTCATACTTCCCGTCAAGTGACCGGAACGGACCATGATCAAGACGGCACCGTGACCGTGTACTTCCCAAACAAAGACCACGAGGTAATCGACCATTTTCTCAAGAACTACCCGATCCCTCTCGTAGTAAGAACCGTCGACATGCACAATAATCCTCATCTCCTGCTTTACCATCGCCATCGCCCAGCTCTCCGGCGGCGACATGCAGCTCCCCTGGTGGAGCTCTTCCCCTTAATCACTGTTATTCCCCGTTATGAGCTCTTTACCTGCCCGGCGGCATGCTCTTCGGCTTCCTTCACAGACGTGCAAATCGGCATGGACCACATCACCTCTCCGAGCTGCTGGCCGGCTTCCTCTTCCCCCACGGCAAACCATTGCCGTTCACTTGTACAGTGTACGGCCGGTAACTTCTCGAGCAGTGCTCTGCCTCAAACTGGTCAGCGACATCAGGTCGGCTTCATGCTTCTACATGAAGATCCCCGAGGGTGAGCATGAGCCGTTTGTGGCGCAGGTGTTCTTTGGGAGCAGCGAGTCGCCGTATCAGTAGGTGTAATGGAGTTTGTCGTGGGGCCGCTTGCTATGATGTTGCCGTGGACTGTACACACTACACAGAGTGAAGACGAAGTGGAAAGTCGAGAGTGTGGTCAACCCGGTAGTGATGCTGAACTGAACGGGACGATGCTGTTTCCGATCTACAACCCCACGACGAACTTGAAAAAATTGGTCCTGGTGGCGGTTGCCTTCATGGTGTATGGGTATCGTTACCATCCGGTGTGGTTCGGCAAATAAAACAACCTGCTCGGGGCTGGGTTAGTAGACTGTGGTGCGTAACTGGTTCAGATGGCCATGATCTTGGTGGATGGACTTGGCCAATGTCACGATGCCGCACTGATGGGGGGATGATGTGGTCGCGGTGTACAAGTGTTGTCGGCCCTTTGACGTGCCTGAGAATGTACTCGGGCAACTCAAAGGGAATGATAAGGCTTCCATTGACATGCTCGATGTCTTCTTGATCACGAACTGCTTGTTGGAAGGAAACTGGAATGTAAAAAAAGGCAATTGCCCTGGCAGACGCCGTGTCAATCTAGCAGTGGGCATATCTGTTCCAGCGCATGAGGCCTATGACTGCGCTATAAGCCCGCTAGGTATAAACTTCATCCATCAATCTCATGACCTCACCTCCGGCTTCTTCTGCCGTCCCCAACCATCATACTCACGATTCCTGTGTGGAAGTCAAGGGCACACAATTATGGTACATGAGCGGGTAAACCCAAGTCTGTATCTTTTTCTTTTCTCCCTTCTCAGCCATGATCAACGAATTTCCAATATGCTGTACGCAGTGCGCTGGAAACCGGTCAGTGTCTTCCCCGAATATTCTCTTTGGACGCTGGTGCTAACATACCTCCATGATAGAACTGATGACACCGAGCATCCATCATATTGATCCCCTTGCTCAGCGCATAGATGATCTTGCGAGAGCAGTAGAGGCAATGCAAATCATGCGACGCCTGATATTTGGTGTAGATCACCGAGAAGTTGCCTGCCTGCAAATCCGGCACACTCTCCGACGGAACCTCCATGATGGTGTCGCGGTCCCAGTACCAAGTCCACTCGGCCATCATGTCCCCAAAGTTTTCCTTGTACTCCCCGACAACGTCCGGAAACCCACAAGCTCTTGGGACCCAGGCAGCTAGCTGTTGTTCAAACACACACCCTCTAGCTTGAGCTTCCTCCGGTGAAGTACCACACTGCTTCACTTCGCCTTGATGGCTCGGTCGGTTGTCCTCCATGTGACTGTGTCCATGTCCATGAGCCATGGATTGAGATTGGGAAGACTGGTGTTTCGTGGGAGAGACAAGGCAGACCAACCGACGGGTCAGAATATGAGTGAGAAGTGCCGTCCCAGCAACTGTGGCTAGTAGCAACAACATCCACGGCCAGAATCGTCTCCTGCATGATGGTTTCTCATCACCAGTCTCGTATTCGCACCGCTTAAAGTCCTTCCCGTTGAGCTGTACTTCCTCATCATCTTCACTGTCTTCGCCGAGCTGACCGGGGTCATATCTTGGTGTTCTTGCCAGGGCCGCAATCAGGTTGCTATACCACTGCCGTACGATTTCTGCTCCCATGATCTGGAGGAATCAGCACTTGCACCCATGGAAGTCAAGGGTTGGGCTTCTTACCAGGAGATTCCAATATGATAACTATGCTGGCTGTACGCAAGTCACTTGTGAACGTTTACAGGCCTAGAACAATCATGTCGTATTTCCAGGTAAGTCGGTCCCAGAAAAGCCCAGGTTGACCGCCATATTACTGACATTCCCTATGACAGTCCTTCTTGCGCTTTACCAGCAATCATTATTCGGCGTTAGCAGTAAGCCTCTCCCTCTCTTCCGCTGTAGCGCTTCCGATTTGGCGCCATTTTCAGGGGGTTGGCGGACACAGTAGCGCGTTTACCCGGCTACCCATCACCCACGGCCGGCAACGTCCCGGTCTGCGGAACCTCCCATGCTGTCCACCGAGAACAACAGGACTGCGGTCCAACCCAAAACAGTCTCCAAGACGGCGCCTGTTGTGTTGATGACCGTTTCAGGTTTTGATGGAAGCTCGTATTGGCTGATAACTCATCAATTTACGTTACACATCTGTCCTGAAAAGGCCACCGGTTCCCCCAACAAATCGTACGGTTTCTGTAGAGATATCTACTACTTGTACATCCAACATCTTGGAAAAACAACAAGGTGTAACACACCACATCGAATACCTTCTCCCCTTAGGATCTCAAAGATTCAGGAACAAACTTCCCCATCTCCATCCCAGCCAACACAATGGCCATCCAGGAGGACATGGCCACCGATGAGGAGGCTAAGATCAACACCATCCTCACCTGCTTCCCTCATGAAAAGTCCTTGGAATCACTCGTCTTCATTCCTCGCTTCCGCCAACGTCTCTCCATTCTCTCAAAATGGTCCATCTTACCTGGAAGCCGGGTCCTTGACATCGGTTGCGGACAAGGTGACTCCTCCCTTGCTCTAGCTCTAGAACTCGGTCCAGCTTGTCACGTCACCGGCATCGACACCGCTCCCCCCGACTACGGCACCCCTATGAACGTCGCCCAATCCCAAGAAAAGATCCTCCAATCCCCTCTGGGCAACCGCCTGGCCTTCCAAAACGAAGTCGACGCCGCCACCTTCTTCAAGTCCAAGAAGCCTGTCGTCGACAAGTTCGACGCCGCAACAGCCTGCCACTCCCTCTTCTACTTCCCGTCCTACTCCTCCGTCGCCTCTTTATTCCAAGAACTAGCCTCCGCCGGCGTCGAAAAGGTCTACGTAGCCGAGTACGACCAGAAACAAACGCCCTCCTTCCCTGCGAGCCAAACACCACACATCCTCGCCGCCAAGGCCCAGGCGCTTTATTACGCTTATAAAGCGGAAGCCGACGCCGATGCAGCCGATGCCGCACTCGCACTCTCACAAAAGGAACAGCACGATGATCAGCAGCTACATGTAGGCCACATCTCCGCTAAGAACGGAGAGCCGCCGCTGAATATACGCGCTGCACCTGATGTCGAGAGCATCACTCGAGCGGCTAAGGAGGGTGGTGGGTTTAGAGTAAAAAGGCAAGGCAAGTTCACGCCCGGGGAGGACTATCTGAGGGACACTTTGAGACGAGGTATGTGCGAGGGCCGAGGTTTGAGGCGAGGGTTAAGGAGGAGGAGTTTGCCAATGAGAGGGAGGAGGAGATTTTGGGGGTCATTGAGGAGGTTAGGAGGGCGTATGAGGAGATGGAAAAGGGGGGAGTGGAGAAGGTGAGGTGTATGTCTGTGTGGTGGGCGGAGTTTGAGTTAGAGTAGGGGGTGCTGGGGAGTGAGTAAATGGTAGAGGGGATGGAAGTTTCTGATGATTTGTCAAGTTCTCTTTGGAATGGAACTCTTAATCTTGTGGGCAGTTTTCTTTGCGTGTACGTACTCGATACTTTTTCCCATTTGGTGTGTGGTTGGATGGATCTAGCTATCGTTAACTGGCTCAATGGAATTTACCGGCTACGGGTACGGGTTAATCTCTAGAGGTACCTTTGAGAAACGATTTACCTGGAGAAAGCGTGTTTAGATATGTATCAATCCATATCTTTTGTAGACAGGTAGGCCGTGTATCTCTACAATGGAAGACAGGATCCACACATCGTAGCGCGCAACTGGCGCAATATGGTGGCTTGCATTCCATACACTCACCCGTTTGGTCAAGGGAGTGGCATGTCCTGGAACAACGTACTGATCATGACCAAGAGTGCGGGGGATAACCCCAAGGCAACCCGATGATTGACATTCCAGACGTTCCAAGATGTAAGACAAAAATCCCTTTCTTCCTCGCTCAGTCATTAAACCACCTAACAGAAAATATTTTCCATCCCAAGACAAACTCACTGCAGTGCCTTTTGTGCAACGAAATACCATCGCCATGGGATACCCTCGGTCTAGCTCAGACGCTGTTCTCATGTCCCCAACATCGCCGTCATACAAGTCCGAAGAAGAGCAGGAACACGAAGAAGATGTCGGTCTTCTGAGTGCTACGAGCAACCGTCTTCAGCATATCGCTGGTCAAAGGTTCCTTGGCTCTCGAACCGGGTCGCGATGGTACAAACTCCTTGTTCTGCCATTTTTGATCCTCACTTCCTTCTTCCTCGGCGCCGCTACAAGTGCGGTTATTGTTGCCTACGGCCGCAATTCAAATGATGGGGCCGAAATGGGGAAGAGAGTGCTCCATCTTGCCGGTGAAATGAATGGGTTGGTGCCGGAGTGTGAGTTCTCCCTCTATTTGTATCCCCCAAGATGAGTTAGGTGTGCTGACCCGCTTATAATTGTTGATGACAGTCAAAGTCAAGCCCGTCGTCTTTGGCAAAGATCCGCTTGCTACTTCGGATCACAAGACGGAGGCTTCGAGAAATGCTACCGAGGATAATTGGAGGGGGTATATGCCTGGTATGTGACACCATGACTCATCTTCTCATCCAAGTCCACTTTGCTATTTCTCTCAAAGATGCGAGCGACTAACGCAATTCAATCACAGCCGGAAATGGCTTCATAGCCGTCGAAAACCCATCACAATACACCCTCCCGCAGCCCATTGAGTTCCATGATCAGGCTGTTTACTCGATGAGCGTTTTCCATCAACTTCATTGCTTGGTAAGCATACCTTTTCTTTTCCCATGTTCCCTCCTTTTATGTTCGATAGGTACTTCTATCATTCCACCCCTCCATCCTGCACTCCATCCCTCTGCTTCCCTCTCTTCTCGTTCCCCAACCAAACCTAAAGACATACTAGCTAACAATCCGTTCCGTTAGCACACAATAATGCGGTCCTACAACTCCCTCTCCGAGCTTAAACCCCCCTCAGCACCCACCACCCCCAACCATCACCATGACACCCATCCACCCCAACGCAGGGACAGCCACCACCCCCCTCCACACCAACCAAAACCCGAACACAAACACAGCCACAAGCACATAGACCACTGCTTCCGGTATCTCCGCCAAGCCATAATCTGCTGCGGCGACACGGCGCTGGAAGGACAAGACCTCAACCATCCTGATCTCAAAGCGACGGATGGCACGGGGGCGGTGCATTTGTGTAAGGACTATGGGGGGTTGAAGGGGTGGGCTGAGGGGAGGAGGGTTACTGATAAGGAAGGGGTGCTTTGAGTCAACAAACGGGGTGGTTGTTGGGAAGGGAATAAAGGGGGAGGTAGTGTATGTGAGGCAAATGGGGGAGGTTGTAGTGTGAAGCAGTGAAGAGAAGGAAGGAGGACTGGACAGAATTTGAATGAGGAAGGAAATGGCTGAGGACAAGAGGAAGGTGAGTTGGGAGGAGAGCAAGGGAGAATGCAAACGGCGAGGAGAAGGAGGATTTTATGTCACGGAAGGAGGAGCGGGGATAGTGTCTTTTTGTGGGTTCATCAGCGATATGTACCAGCGTTATTTTCACCATTCCAGTCCTGTTCATGTTTTTCGTTACTACACCTCAACTTCCCATTATCCGATATCCCACGAGGGTGGTCAGGCAAAACCCCCATGTTTGTTCCATACAACCAAGCTACAAAGCTCTTCCTTTTGCTCATGCAGTCCATCATCTGTCAAACTCGTGCAAGTCCTCTAGGTTGCTGGATCCGTATGTTAGCTTTTGCCATTTCTTCCTTTTTTTTTTTTTTTCCTGCAAGGGACCAAAAGGGTAGAGGGGAAACTAGATACTTACTCTGAAGATAACGAGAGATGTCAGTTAGCAATGTCAACACGCCAGCTAACGAAGAAAGGGGTCAAAGGGAGTGTATGATCTCTGCAGGTATCACGTACACTATGGAGGTCAACAAATGTCAGTCATCAATTTTCGAAATGTCAAAGAAAGAAACGAACACCGGACAGACTGGTACTTACAGCACTATCTTGCAACTCCACGGGGACAAGACCCTGAAAGCAAGAAACGATGATTTTGTCAGTAACTACATCATACAAAATTTTGGATATAAAAGGGTCCTTGACACAGGACAGGACATACTTCAGCCGGGACGGGCATCGGCGTCGGCAAAGCAGCTGCGAAGGGCAGCAACAGCGCTGCGACCAAAACAACAACGAGGTTCCTCATGTTGATCTTGCTGAATTGGACGATAACAGTTTGCTATAGTCTTGCGGACCGATAAGACGAAAAGGAAATGAATGACTGTCAGACAACGAAGTTTCGGCACTCTCAAGATCCGCCGCAGTTCGTCTGATGCTGGAAGTCCGGATGACATCCGACTCTGGGGCTGCAGCGGAAATTGTTAATGTAGGCGCATCTCCCATATCCGCTGCCAAGACATCGTCTGATCAGTCTAAACCAATAGCATAACACCATTTTGGCGCAAAGGGAAGGAGGCGCCCTTTGGACCCACCACATTCGAGCGCGGGATCCACCATTCGTCACTTCAGTTGAGCGCTGGAGGGCCAAACTTCAGGCAAGATGAGCGCTGTAATGCGCTATTCTGCGCATTCTAGCAGCTTTTAGCGGTCGGCCTGACTTTCTGACAGCGCTGTTTGCTTCCAGCTGCCCGATCACCGAACCTCACACCCGCCCGGACGGAAACAGCACGGCAGACCTGACCGCAAAAGAACCTGGAAGTGAAGCTATTCCCAGTCTCGCAACCTCACATCCGTCCCGTCCTCATCCAGATCCGGATCCGTCGCCGGTGATGTTCAACTCAATCCAAACCTCCTACAGAGAATGGCGAGAGCCTCGATATACACAAGTAGTGGTAGACGACACCGAAAGCCAAACATCCTCCTCCTCGTCGTCGTCCTCGGAAGTGGAAGAGGAAAAGCCGATTGAAGCTACGTCGTAGGTCCCTCACCAGATTGCATCACAACCACAAATATCACCAGCTAACTTGGTTAACAGACTTAAACATCACCTCCTAACAGCCTACCTCATCATAACAACCCTAGCCTGGATAAGTCTAGTAATCTGGTTCATTGTTTTGCCATTCTTCCTGCCAGACTACGACAGTGACCCGCCACCGCCGTTAAGATTCTGGCAGCAGACCAGCAATATCAATCCCAACAGCAACAAGGCATGCAAACACATTGCCACCCGTCGCGAATGGCGCTCGTTAACAGAAACGGAAAGAACCGAGTTCGTGGACGCCATCCATTGTCTGGCGAGAACTCCCTCAGAGTGGGGAGATAATCGGACTGTTTATGATGATTTTTCGATATTACATGGGGGGGGTTGGGAGTTGGTGTATGTTTTTCTTTCCTCGCCTCAAGCTTGCTCGAAGGTGTGATGAAATAAAGAGGAAGCTGACAATGAATCCGTGAGAATAGGTCATCGAAGTGCGTCCTTCCTACCGTGGCATCGATGGACTTTATACATTTTTGAGAATATCCTCAAGGATAAATGCGGGTTTCCTAGAGATGGGACGATTCCGTAAGCTCCCTCACCCCTAGGTTTAATACTTGTCTTCCCTCCTCATTCTCCATCCTCGTCCTTTTCGCATTTTGAAATACTTGCTAATCTGCGATGGAAATAGGTACTGGGATTGGTCCCTAGACCACTTCTCCCTCTCCAACTCCTCCATCTTTTCACCCACCACGGGCTTTGGATCCGACGGCTCGCCATCAGCTGCTGATAGTGTCGGACAAGGCCGTTGCGTCCAAAACGGCCCCTTCACCGACCTCCGCCCCATCATCTACAACCACACCTACATCACGCACTGTTTATCCCGAGGATTCAACGATCCCAAGCGCAATATCACCGGCGTGATATCAGGCGAGCAGTACAAGCCGGAAGCGATCGGTGAGATACTGAGGATAGAGAAATATGAAGAGTTTGGAAAGAGGGTGGAGGAACGGTTGCATAACGGCTTGCATCAGGGTGTTGGAGGGGATTTTAGGGCAATGACTGCTGCTAATGGTTTGTTTTTTTTATTCTTCTTTTTTTCCTTTTTCTCTCAATCTTTTTTTCCTTTTTCTCTCAATCTTTTTTTCGTCCTCTCATTCTCCCGGTACTGATGCTAAAGATCAACGAAACAGACCCCCTCTTCTACGTCCACCACGCCTCTCTCGACAGAATGTGGTGGCGCTGGCAATGGGAGAACCCCGAGGTTCGACTGGCGGAATACAGCGGGAAACACATGTTTAACTCGACACCCGGAGAGGCCAATCTGAAAGATGTGTTGCTGTATGGAGGGTTTACCAAGGATGTGTTGGTGGAGAGGGCGATGAGTACGGAGAGTGGGGAGTTGTGTTATCAGTATCAGTAGGTAGGTAGTCCTTGGGTAGTTCATTGACATTCAATCGCATGCAATACTGCCGTAATAGGCAGAGCGAAGAGGATGTGAACTCGGAGTAAACGTTTGTGATGGAAAGGATTCGGGCGTGGTGTTGCTGCGCTGAATGGTTGGTGAGCGTCGTGCCGCGATGTGTGGCCGGGACGGGAGGTAGGCGCCGGCGCCAAATGGTTATGCGCGGCGAAGCGCGGATCATCCGCCACGGCAGGTTGAGAAACGCAGGTGGGGAGACGCGACAACTTGTAACGCGCGCAAACGCCAAGTAGGCTCAAATCAAAGACGCAGTGATGTCGGTGGACTGATCAGCTCGTCGATGGTGATATGTAATTGAGAGAAGAGTTGGCGGGTTGTTATACCGGCAATTCGGAAGGAACCAGTTCACCGTGTTCCATCCGGCACTGCATCGCACCATCACAGCCCAGCCAGCTGCTCCCACCCAGTCTTTTGAGCACCTGAGTGCCCCTTTTGCATCCATCATTCATCAACACCATATCATTTTATCCAGCACCAACGGATTGAGTCAATACACCATAACAACGCAGGGGATAAACCCCAAGACTTTACAATGACACCACCCAGCTTCCTCCCCTCCTTCTCCTCAAAATCATCAAAACCCTACTTCAGCCTCCCCCAAGCCGAAGATGGCGAACCTCTCCAACCCCAGCCAGAGAAAGGGCAGCAACAACAACGACAACGGTCCATCTGGCCAAGCAAAGTCCTAACCTTCTGGATCTTCATGTCCCTCTTCTTCGCCTGCACAACGACCTGGTTAACTGCCGAGCTGCACGCGGTGAGGAAGCAGGGGAGTTTCGCGAGGGGGTTTAGGAATGAGTTGGGTGAGATTTTTTTTTCTTCCTTTCTCGCGTTCTTGCCCCTGGGAGGTTTGACTTGAAAGCAACGGCCGTTGGTCATCGGTCATCGGCCACCGGTTATCGGAGCTTCATGTTTCGAAACAAAAGGTAGAATATCGGCTAATATTGGTTTGACAAAAAGACGCCGCCAAACACCTAATATCCGTCAAAACCGTTCCCTTCGGCGGGAGCCCTCGCTTCAAGGAAGACGGCACAGAATACGTACCAGATAATGGCGAGGAACATGAGGCGTATGTGGGTACGCCGAGGAGGGAGATTGATCATAATTGGGCTTTGCTGCATTGGGGTGAGTTCAGTCTTTCTGTTCGGCCGGACCAATTGTCGTTGTGGGTGTATTGACCGGTTGACTGACTGACCGTCGCGTGTCGTGTGAAAAAGGCCGGTTCTTTCTCCTGACGGGAGACGAAGCTAGGAGTGCTTGGGGTGATGAGTATAAAGAGTTTTGGAGTCCGAAGCATGGGGGTTATGTTGCTGCGTGAGTTCTCATTTCATCCCTTTTCATCATCTTTGGTCCTCATTCCTTCGTTTCCATTTACTCTTCTTCCCTCACTATTTTTCCACTCCCTCCGATCCCTCCTCTCTCCCCCTTCCTCTCCCCACTTTACCCCCTCCCCAAATCTCATAGCTAACCACCATCTGCCCCCACAGCCTAGAAGTAATGCACACCCTCCACTGCCTCGACCACATCCGCAAAGCCTTTTATCCAGAGCACTACCCCGTAGACAGCGACATTCACGGCACCCTCCACCGTGACCACTGCCTCGACCACCTGCGACAGACCGTCCTCTGTAATGCCGATCTGACGCCCATCCCGTCGCGGTACTACCCTGCGCTCGGTCAGAATTACATCGACTCTGACCGTCCGCACACGTGTCGCGATTTCGGCAGGATTAGGGAGTGGGTGAGTGAACGGTTTAATGGGAGCCTGAAGGTTGAGCCGGCGCCGGGGACTGTAGTGGATGATGAGTGGAGGAATGGAGGGCCTAGTGGGGGAGCGATGGGGATGGGGCATGGGCATGGGGGACATGGTGGTAGTGGTGGTCATGGTGGTGAGCAGGGCCATGGAGGACATGGGCTTGGACGGGATGTCGCTGCCTCTGATGAGGGTAAGGTTGTTGAGGGTGGGCACGTGCCTCCTGCTCCTGGGCAGGGTATGTGAAATGTGAAATACTTCAAGATCGTAGTGTAGATATTTGATTCGATGGTTGAAGTGTTTTTTTCGGTTGAGGTAATCGAGGTATGATCGGTACTGATAGTTGGCGATGATCGTAACGTCGAGTTGGAGGAAGTGCCGACAATGCTCTGAGCCGGAATTTGTCCTTAGTTCGCGCCTGGAAGATGCGATGACACTGTGGAATCGTTGTTCACGCCCCTTAGACCCCAGATATCCATTATGTTGAACATGCATCCGGAGCACAATAGTCAACGCTATTGACGCACTTTGAAGTGGAGAAAACAAAAGCTGACGCAGGAAAAGGGGGGAAAGGCCAAAAAGCTCGGCCGCCCAAACCCGGAGTTGAACTCGAGGCCAGCTACAACCTACGAACACCCCACGCGTTTTGTCACTCCCAGTATACCTACCACGTAGGCTACTGGTAATTGTAATAAAGTCCGAACTCTAGGCTTATATGATCCCAATACCAGATCCTGCCGCCGAGAAGTTGGTTGCCTGAGCCCGTGCGGTGTGTTGATAGGTGCCGACGTGAATACGACTTTCTCTTGTTCACTCTGAGACGGGCTGGCAAGGAACTTGGTGTCCGTGGTGTCTCTCTCATTGTTCGTTCCCCAACCGTTTGGGTAACCCCTTTCGGTCCTTCAACCGGTCCTTATGAATGAGTCTTTTGACGGGAGAGCGGTGAACGATAATGGCAGACCGGACCAGAGAACGTCGAGGACGACGTAAAAGGCTTACCCACTGCCTCGTGACACTTCAGCCTTTTGGTCCCTTTATTCCGTGTTGGCTGTGTCCACGATAGAGTGTCGTGAAGCCCCTCCCGTTGTTGCAGGGCTATCACTATGCCCCAAGAGTAGGTGAACAGGTTCTGTCAACCACCACCACTATTCATCACGATGCCGAATCCTTCAAGTGACGAGCCTTTTTCCGGTAGCCAGCCCGCGATCTTGGAGATATCCCAACAATCTTCCACCAGGGAGTGCATAAAAGAACCACTTCTGATCGACTTCCTCCTCTCTCTCAGTCTTCACCACCCAATCCTGAAATAAAGAAGTCCACCGACCAAGCAAAAAGCAAGAACATCAAAGACACGCAACCCAACACAACCAAAAGCCAAGCGACATCATCAAGATGTCGAACTCCAGCGGTAGTTTGGGCAGCTCCTCCTCTTCCGGCGGTGGCTCCTCCAGCAGCAACGACTACATCCCCACCGCCGGCTATGCCGTCGACACGCCCAGTTACACCGTGACCTCTGGCGGCAGCGGTGGATCCTACTACACTTCCTCCACTACTGGCCAGTCCGGCTATTCAGGCTCTGAGCCCCCGTCTTACTACTCTTCTTCCGGCGGCAAAGGTAGTAGGTCTTCTTCTTCAGGTGGCGGTGGTTCGTCGTATTACTCCAATGGCCGCTAAGCTGGGGTAGACTTAAGGCAATAGTTCAGGAATGGCAAATACAGAATGGGAAAAGGTAGTGATGAGAAGTCTTGCTAAGTCTTGGATTTGCAAGCAACGGAAAACAGGAGGGAATCGGAACGGATCTGAAAGGAACAAGATCTTGCTGCCTTCATTAGCCTCTTGCTCTGACAATGTATTCCTTTTGTGACAGTATTTGTCTAACAGAACTTGGGATACAGTGTGTTGAAATGGTCATAGAGGTCTAACCTGGATGGGACAGACGGCATGGTGAATGGGATGGTACTATTTTCAGGCGTCAGCCATCACTCACTGTAGACGTACTATTTACCATGTCTCTTTGTCTCCCGCGTTCAGTCAATCCTCTTATGTGGTTTCCATGGTCTTATAAGTGCCTGTGGTTATTGTTTCTGCCTTTCTTCGTTTGCATGGTTGATGACAGATTCCCGGTAAGATGAAGTCGGAAAAAGTGAAGCTGTAGAGGTCAATACGGCCATGATCCGGTAAAACAGGAAGTCGGAGATGTCAAGTTGAAGTTGTAAGATGGAGGAAGTTGAATGGGAAATGTTAAGACACGGGTGGACACAGGTAGGTGCGGTTCAAACGAGAAAGGCATGTACCGGGTTGCCTGCAGTTGAAGCCCGACCAACTCCCACGTCTTCTTTCCTTTGCACCATCAAGTTCCTTCTTTTCTTCCTAGGTGAGGCTTCTTAACTCGAACTCGTCTTTGCTAGAGGGGTCATGTGGGCTTGACACTCTGCAGGGCGCGTGCCCATCGGTCCCGACAATTGTATCACATTGCGTTAGTGCACTATTTTCGTGTCACGCTGTTTGGTCGACAATCTGTTAAGCCCGCATCTGTATTTCTTTCAACTATCTTTCCGCGATGTCAACCCGCCAACCTTTTAACCACCTTCTCGCACAATGCAACCAACGACCGTGCGTTTGCTATGTCCAAGGTACTGACCTCCGCCCCGATCCTTCCTCTGACCCAATTCCTCAGTTCCACCGCTGACATTGAATCCAGACCGTACGCACTCAATGGCTTCCCGCTCTCCATCTCGGTTTCCAGCCGCAGGAGTCTCGAAAGCTGCTTCGACATGACCTCGACGCAAGCCTTGACCAGCGTCGCGCTATCCGCACCGTCTGATACAAGTGCATTGAAGGCCTGGAGAGCCTGATCAACGGTCTCATGGTCACTCCCTCCTCGCTTGACGTCGCCTTCCGAAACAGCACCACTTCCACTACTGAAGAGATACCCAAACCTCGAGTCACTCATGATATCTAACGACCCATCGAGGGGCAGAGGGAACGCAATCCCGGTGATGAGCTGTGCCCTAGAAGCAGGATTGAGAGGACGAACAACGTCCTGCTGCAAGATCGAACATGTCAAGATACGACGAAGGACTCCTTCACCGATGGGCGTCCACTGCTGCTTGTCAAACCGGGCCTGGAGATCAGCTCCTTGCTCGGCGAGATATCCAACATCCTCTATGGCACCAAGATCCACCGAGTTGGCCCGCAATCCTAATCCATGGCGGTAGCTGGCAAAGGCATCCAGGAACGTGTTGGCAGCCGCGTAATTGGCCTGTCCTTTGTTACCAATGATACCAGACACCGACGAAAGCATGGTGAAGAAGTCGACGGTCATGCCTTGTTCTACCGCGGCTTTGTGAAGGTTCCAGGTTCCCTTTACCTTGGCCTCGAGAACCTGGCGGAAATCTTGAACCGTCATCGTCTCATATGTCTTGTCTCGAAGAACCATAGCCCCCTGGATGATGCCAGCTATTCGCCAGCCACCCCTATGTTGCTTGAACAGGGAGCGGACGAAACTCGAACTGGTAACATCACCCTTGGCTTCAGTCACTGCACAACCATAGGCGCTGCAACCCTTGATGATACGAGATGAGGCGGCGTCTGATGTACCGCTACGACTACAACTGATGATATGCTTCGCTCCGTGTCGAGCCATGTGGATTGCGAGTGAGCCACACAGGCCCTTGAGACCACCTATGATCAGGTAAGAAGCGTTTTCTCTTAGCTGCAATGTCCGCAAGGCGGGACCAACTGGCACCCGAGTATTGCCATGGCTGTTGATGACTACCCTGCCATTGAGCTGACCGTTGGCAACAGGTTGAGGCATATTCTCTGGCTCATGGAAACCCTTGATGGCCGTCTGCGCTCTCCCTGTCTTGCCTTGATTAAAGGCATTCACCTTTGTGTCAGGCATCAGTCTTTGCACAAAGACCACACCGTTGCGTTCCGCATACTCCGTTTCCGCCTTTTGAATTCTGACCAGCTCGAGAATCATATCCACGACCCAGGCAGTAGCGAGGCTGGTAGCAGATTGCACATCAAGGGTGGTCAGCTTGGCGGTTGTGTCTTCTCGGCGAACAACACGAAACAGGCCATGCACTACGGCCTTGTCGGGGTCAGTAACTTGGTACTGTGAACCTTTGGTAACCCAGACAACCGGGTTCCCAGACGCAGTCAATCTCCTGAGACTTTCCCACTGTCTACCGGAGGCATGAGTGAGCACAGGACTGGAAAGCTCATCGAGGACCAAGAAGACTGTCGTGTTGGGAGCTGCAAGGGTATTGAGTCCTAATGCGCTTCGGTGCGTCACGGTCCAACCCGAGTACTCGAGTTTCTCGTGAAGACTCGGTGGAAGGGGACGACTGGGATTTTTGAAGCCGACGACAGTCAGGCTTCGGGGAAAAGCGCCGACCCCTTCATCCCCCCCTTGATTGCTGGTGGGCTGCGAACTGCTCTTGGTTTTACACAAGTAGTGCACGTTACCACCTTCGGCGATTTCAAGGACGTTCTGGAAACCTTGACCAGCCAGCTGATCCAGCTGTTTTCTTCGGCTCCCAAAGCTTCCAGGGGTGGAGTCTAAAGGCTTTCTGGCTTCAACGTGGTCTATCGGTGCAGAGGAGACGGAACTGGCAATATCATTCTCATCCTCGGAGTTTGAGTCCTCGGACAAATAGCCAACACTACCGGATTCATCAAAGGAGCAGACGGAGCCCCCATGGGAAGTCTCATAGCCGCTGTCAGTGGCAGTAGACGTATTGCTGGTCGATGGGTCGGCTATCAATACGAAGGCATCCTCATGAAGGATTGGCTTGATGTTGGCAAGAATGTCTTCGATCGGGATCCCGCACTTCGAGTGTGACTTGACGATCACAAGATCGTAATTCTTTCTTACGACCAGACCCAAGCCCTTCTCGTCGGGAGTGATCAAGTGGAAATCAGTGTTTTTGTGGATCCCAAACTCCTCCTCCAAAGCGGCAACTGTTCCGGAATGAGTGGTGGCCAGATCGTATCCAGTGCATGCCTGTCGGGGTGACATTTCCTTGGGGGAAAACCACAAACTAGACCTATCAGCTTTGTCCAGATTGACCTCAAGGACCTTGAGCAAAGGCCTTTTGTGGGCAATGAGGTCAATGATTGTATCAACCTTGGAAGCCTGGCCAACATCCTCGGTTTCCAGATACATGAGTTGATCTTGTGTGAGGAGGGAAATGTCAGGCTTCCATAATACATGGTGAAAGGTGTGAGGATCAGGCTTCTTTTCCACGTCAATCTTGACATAGGACATCCCCTTTGCCTGGAAATAGAGGGCACCGGTCTCAGGGTCATGGACTGAAATATCACAGCGACTGTTCTTGGTCTCGTCCTTGGGGCCACCAGGCTTACAGCCGGACTTGGCTATGGCAAGGCCAACCTTGAAGTCTTTGGGGACGCGGTTGAGGATCACCTCGCCAATCATACCCGGCACTACTACATTGTTGATCAAACTTCGTTCATTCAGGACATTGGGCGGCGCACCAACTTGGAACGAAGCATCGAAGGGTGCCGGGTGGAGGGGAAAGTGGCTTGCCGGTTCGTACGTCGACAAGGGCGGGGTCAAGTCAACCAACGCACGACAGCTCCGTTCACCACTGGTAGCCTCCAGGCTGAGAACCTTTCTGAAAGACGGTCCAAAGAAAACGTTGGCCTCGTGAAAGGCCTTGTACCATGGACTGAAGGAAGTAGGGTTGTCGAGAGGCTGAAGGTCAGCTCCGCTGACCTTGTCATTAACTGCATCAATGACGCGAATGCGGCCCCAGCAATGAAGGATGTTCACATCATCTTGGGATGTCGAAATGCGAAACTCGTCCCAATCCTTACTATCAGGTACCGAAGCAAGGGACAAAAGGATGGTGCAGATCTTGTTCTCCTCAACAGCCAAGGCGCGGTCAAAGTGGATGTTGCGCAACTGGTAGGCCAGCTCGTTGGTCGACAGAACCGCTTTCTCGGGGTTCAACGCGCAATGCTTCTGGTACATGGCCTCTATCGCCATGGTTACTAGGCCGGCGCCAGGCATCAAGACATCCGGGCCTATCTGGTGATCACGGAGCCAGGGGACATCCTCTAGGCGGAGGTGCTTGCGCCAGATGGGGCATTGCCATGGGACTCCAAAGATCTTGCTTCCGATCAGATCGTGGTGGGCGTACTGCCTGAACCTCCAGTCCCTGCTTGCTGCGTTCTCATGCCAGTACTTGACTGAGTGGTTCCAGCTGTAGTTGGGAAGATCGACTATTGTTCGGACTCTGGTTGAGTTATAGTGGTTGACACGCACCAGGTCGACGGGGTAGCCGGCGACAAAAAGACGGCCAGCTACGTCGTGCAATGCTTTGGCTGCGTTTTCGCCCCGAGTCCAAGCGTTGCAGTATGAGATTTGTCCGGCTTTTGGTAGGGACTTGACCACCTGGGAGATGGGACCAGCCAGGGCACCGGAAGGACCGATCTCTATCAGGAAGTCAGGAGACGCATTACCTGGCTGCGTGGCCATGGCCGCGAGGGCCTCGCTGAAACGGACTGGAGATACCATGTTCGTCTTCCAGTATGTCGCATTGGTAGGGGAGGCATTGGTCAATTTCTGTGCGGTGACCGACGAAAACATGGCGACGCCGGATGGCGAACGACCGTCAAGAAATGAAAAGTCATTGTCGTTAGTCAGAAGCTGCTCATAGGCCACTCCAAACTCATCCATCAGCTGGGAGTGATACGCTACATCAACTTGCAGAAGCCGAGCAAAGTTGCCTGATGCCTTTATCTCGTCCGCAAGTTGAAGGAGGGCGTCCTTCTTGCCCGAAATTGTCAAGCTCTGCGGGCTGTTATAACAGGCAACCCAAGCTTTTCCTTGGTATTTATCCAGAAACAGAGCTACAGTCTCGACATCGAGGCCAACAGCAAGCATACCGACATTTGACTCGGCATCGGCGTCAATGACAGTCGCCCAGCCCCTATAAAAGGCTGCCTTGATGGCACTGGCGCGATCCAGGAAGCCAGCACAATGGGCGGCAGCAATCTCGCCCGAACTGTGGCCCACAACACTAGAAGCCTTCACACCCCATGACTCAAGAACGGCGATTATGCATATTTGCAGGGCCGTCACCAAGGGTTGCGAGAACTCGGGTTTGCGGACATGTTCAGTCGACCGCGGCTCCGTCAGCTCCTCCACGAGCGACCATTTTGGAGGATTTGGGAGGCTCTGCAGAACAGTATCCAGCTCTTCAAGGATTGATCTTGTCCAGGGAAAGAACTCGAGCAGTTGTTTGCCCATTTGAGGCCACTGGGCGCCCTGGCCTGTAAAGACAAAGCCGATTTTGGGGATATTCTCGGCCTTCTTTCCGATGGTGAAGTCGTTGGTCTCGATCTTGGAGGACCGAGTGGTGACAAAGGCACGATGCCATAGGCGGGTTCGACGCGCCGAGAGAGTATAGGCAAGATCAGGCAGCCTGAGCTGGACTCGAGGGTTGTTGAGATGGTCCACGAGAGACTGGATGTTATTCTTCAGGGAAGATGCATCGTTGGCTGAGAGCACGATCATGTGTGGCTTGTCGACCTTGTCAGTTTCACTGTTGCCCAAAACACCAACCTCATTAACAGGGAGGATGGAGTTAACATAATGACCACGGTACTCTGTGTCTGCCTCCCGAACGATGACATGGGCATTCGCGCCGCCATAGCCAAAGGAGTTGATTGAGGCGCGCTTGGGCTTTCCCTCGGTGTCAGGCCATGGAAGAGCAGTTCTCGAGACCTTGACTTTGTTGCCGACGAAGTCGATTTGAGGGCTCGGGGTGACAAACAGCGGGTTACCAGGGATAACAGAATGTTCGATCGCAAGAACTGTTTTGATCAACCCTGAGATACCAGCTACAGGCTCAGCGTGGCCGACATTTCCTTTGATGGAGCCGATGATCAGAGGCTTTTCTGCGTCGCGGGTCGAAGCAAAGGCAGTTCCGACACCTCGAACCTCGATCGGATCGCCGGCCGGTGTACCGGTGCCATGACATTCCAGATACTGAGTGTCGTTGAGATCGGTTATGCCAGCATTCTGGTAAGCTGCACGGATGGCCGCGGCCTGGGCTTCAGCGCTCGGGCTAGAGATCCCGTTCGTTCGCCCATTGCTGTTCGTCGCAGTGCCGAGGACAATCGCCCTGATAGGATCCCGATCACGAACAGCATCACTCAATCTCTTGATGATGACACACCCGACTCCCTCCGCCTTGATATACCCATCAGCCATCGAGTCAAACGTATGACAAAGCCCAGACGGACTGTGAGCCTTGCCCATGGTTCCCCTATTATCAACCACATGGTCCGGATTCAGATACAAGTTTGAGCTAGCCACGATCGCAGCCGTCGCTTGGCCCGTCTGCAACGTCCTCACGGCCATATCCAGGCCAACCAGACTGCCCGAGCACCCGGTATCAAACGTGACGCTCGGCCCCTTGATATTAAGGAAGTGACTGATTCTATTAGCCTGGATCGCCCTTCCGACACCGATACCGATGTTGGGAGGGAAATCTTCCGGATCCCGGTTTTGCATGTCCCCGTAGTCGGAGGCGAACGAAGCGGCGAAACAAGCTACTGGCTGTCCGTCGATTTTTTCGAGAGGAAGGCCAGCGTTCTCAAGACCTTCGTAGACCACCTCGAGGAGTTGGCGCTGGTTGGGGTCGAGGGCTACGGCGTCGGCGCCGCTAAGGGAGAAGAAGGGGGCGTCGAAGCGGTCGAGGAGGATGGATTCGTCGAGGAACATTCCTGACATATCGTTAGTAACATGTGTGATTGCTGACATGAGATGGAAAGAGATGGGAGAATTTACCACCTGGGGGCCTCATAGTCCCCGGTTTGTGACTCCCGTCATAGTGGGCGTCAACGTTGAAGCGAGACTTGGGCACTTTGTTTGAGGCGACCTTTCCTTGCGAGAGGAAATCCCACAGCATGCTTGGCGAGTGGTTACCCCCGGGCAGACGGCAGGCAAAGCCGATGATTGCTATGGGGTCTTGCCTGTAGAGTTGATCAGTGGTGGACATGGTGGGCTGGCTGGTGGTTGGAGTTCGGCGTTATATGTTAGTCAACAAGTGTGGTTGGCTCAAACAGGAAATAGCGAACGAGGGTGGACGTCTATTGTCGACAAGTGTCACCTTTCTCCCAAGGAAAGACCGAGATACTAGCTTCCTTTTATGCAAAGCATCACCGAGTCCTGAAAGATATCGATCGATTGTCGATGGCCCTCCAACAACTCCTCACGGCTTTAGCGTGCAACTCTATTCTCACCAAGCCGCCGGTGGGCGCCGGTAACGGCATACAAAATCAGGATAATGGTCCCATCGTCCCATGGGTCCATTCTAAGCCCCTTGCCCCCAATACGCACTTCATCATCCTGATTATCGGTACCCATAGGTCTAATGAAGCTTCGTGGCTCGGGCCTGTTACCACTTTGGTCATGATGGCCGTGGAAAGACTGCAGTTGAGCCACTGTGTGAATCGCTTGAGAAGGTTGTCATGGACAAAGGACTCGTCTCTCGAATATTGGAGAGATACCAAGCCTGTACGTCTAACCCAGAAGATTGAGCGCCTTCGTGCAGAAGAACAGTACGAACTACCTTTGGCATCTACTTCTGGCCTCGAACGTTAGGTCTTCTTGTTGGCCTGAGTTGCATCGATTGAAGCTGACCTCTCGCCTAAGGCAACGTCTTATGAAGAACACCCCATCACTTGCATGAGGTTGCCATGTGCAGGCGCGTATGTGGCAGAGGTATGCTTCAGAAAGTTTAGCTCGAGGAATTGCCGTTGGCTGGTCGAACTTCTCCTCTTCCAAACCCCGAATGGCGAACTGTCTCCCGACAGCTAAAACCTTTTCTCCGGACGTTTGGCATCGGGACGTCAGCAGCCAGAAATTAAAAAATCACCACAACATCAGGTGATCTTCTTGAACGTCTTTCTCCCGTAGTCCATGATAGGACTCTCTAGCTTCGTGCCGCATATGAGGTGGTTGTGCCGCAATCCCAAGATGGGGGCCGTTGGTTCCAGGTAGATGGACGCCTTTACGACGCCTAGCAAGTGCTTCTGCATTTTTGCCGAAAAACGCCAAGCCAAGAGTCAAGTCGGGTTCAGTATGTGGGGGCGTGGTTGCGCGCGCGAAGATGCGGCGGACACAGGCAATTCAATCTCTATGTCTCAAACCTCGATCACATATCATCACGCTGTTCAAAACACTGTACAGTTCCAGATCCTGCAAGTTCTCGGCATAGCACGACATCCCTCTCGATCTTCAACAAGGTTGCTATTATCGCCGGATCATCTCTCTTCTTTCCTTTTTGGTATAGGGTGGTACGAGCCCTGGTTGTTCTCATCCGGTCGCCTGCTCCCTTCAAGCCCAGAGGTGCCATTGCGTTTACCTGCTCAGCAGAAGCTCATTGGCACTCCTTTGGAAGAATGAGAAGCATATGGACGTCAAGACTTTAGCACCAACATCGTGCACAGTTTGAGTGGCTGAATGAGACTGTGAGACACGACGATGGCACGGTTAGGCGGCTCGGCGGCGGCTGGCTGTTCAGAAGCGGCAGAGCGGAAGTGTAACGTCGTAAACGATTACGATGATGATTCGATCAAAACGACGTATGATGACGCTAACTACTGGCGGGTGACATTTCTTCCTTTCTTCTGTCTTTCTTCTGTCTTTCTTTGCTTCTTTTCCCCGCGGTGGATGTTAGCGTCCGGGTTTAAGGACTGGCCGGGGCAACTGCGGCCGGTCTGGAATGAGAATGAGACGACCGAGTGGTTGAGTATAGACGCCGCAGACGCCACTTCACCGGATAGGGGTTTGCTTAACGTCTTTTTTTTCCAGTTGCTATGCGATATCAACGCCGTGATCTTGTAGTTGACGTTGAGACAGGTATGGGATGAAATCAGTTCTTTTCCGGCCCGGTTTGTCTGGACGGTAGACTTAGAACTCAAAATTTGTGTACATGACGGGCAATCTTGCGTAGGCTGGGGACGTCTTCTCATTCTGTGTGCTGTTCATCAACTTGGAACAGAGCTCATTGGATCTTACGTTTGGAAGAACATCAACTAAGCCCGACAAAGTCTCCCATCCTCCTTCTCCACCCACTGCTCACTCCCCACCGCTGTCAAGGCGTACAGCAGACCTTCCGGGTCGTATTTGTTCTTGATGACAAGCAGCCTCTCATAGTTCTCTCCGTAAAAGGTGGTCTGCCAGTCTGGCTGATGCGGATCGCCTTCGTTGAGATACGCACCGCCACCGGGAGTGAGCTTCTCAAGAGCGGCGCCAAAAACATTGGTGATCTTTTCCTGGGCTTCGATGTTGGCGGCAAAGTCGAGGTGATTGTATGGGCTGCAAGTTTCACTGTCAGTACTGGTGTTTTGGAAGGAATCAGGGGGGAAAGATGCTCACAATCCAAACACGCCAATGTGAATGGCCGACTCCAACAGCGGGTTGACAGAGTTGGGATACGCCTTTGACAACTTCTGTCCCCTCTCGATGTTGACCGAGATACCAGACACGATACCATCCGCACTGATGATAGCATCCAACGCATCGGTAAGCTTCTCGGCGCCTTCCTTTTCTGTTACCGAGGAGCGGGGAATCAGACGTCCTCCCATATTGGCGTCTGTGACGTTTAGTTGAGCGACCATTGCGGCGACTGCGTCGTGAAACGACGGGAAGTCAGTAAACGACGAGGCTACACCCCACCCTTTTTGTTAGCACAGCTTTATCTCAAGGAAAGATATCAAGATTCACGAACCATAAGGAATCCCCAACCCATCAAGTTTCTCCAGAACCGGCTTAAACGCCTCCTCCAACTCCCTCGCCTTCACCCTTGGCGCCATAACCGGCGACACAGCCAATACATCCTTCAACAAGAACCAAATCGCCCCAGCGCCCAAATCCACAATCTCCGGCAATGCCTCCAACCAAGCCTGCACGCCCTTCAAAAACGTCTTCCTATCTTCCAACCCAGCGGCACTGAACATCAACGTAGCCCCAGCCGTCTCAAAATCCTCCACCGCCTTAACCGTCACGGAAACCACCGCTCCGAAAGTTCCTCCTCCGCCGCCCGACAGCGCCCAGTACAAATCCTCGTGCTCGTTAAACGGCGTAGCTGTCACCAGTCTCGGCTCTGGATGTGCAGTGCCAGGGGAAGGCGGGATAACTACCTCCCACTCAAGTACTTGATCAGCGCCCAACCCAAACGCAGATGATAACACCGAGTGTCCGCCGCCTTGGGTGTACCCGCCCACCACACCGACGCTTTTGCAGTTTCCGCCATGGAGAACTAGGCCTTGAGCTTTAGCGGCGGCAAAGGCATCGGAGACTTGAACGCCTGCTCCCAACCTCGCTGCTTTGCCCTTGTACGCGACACTTCCATGCTGTTCAGCGTCATGGGTGTTATCGAAATCCAAAAACTCAATATCCTTCATATGATGCGTCCACAAAGCCAGGGCGCCAAAGCCAGTGGATTTCCCAAGGTAATCATGTCCTGTGTTGCGGATTACCAGCCGGATGTTGTTTTGGTGAGCAAAAGCCATGGTGTGTACGAAGTCGGTAGGGGAGGAGGCGTTGACGGAGTAGACGACGTTCGCTCCTAAGCTGCACCTGGCCTTTGCCCGATTCTTATTCTTCCCCTTCTCTGACAAAGGTGCCGCCGCCTCCACCTCGATATCGACCTCAACCGGCCCAAACTCGGAGGAAGCAGAAGACGAGTCAACAAACGCATTACAACCGCTACCGTCGGGACCGCGCGCAAAGAACTGGTTCATCACGCTCGCTGAGTCACGGTAGTGAGTGGCTGTGAGGTGCCAGTCCTCGCGCAGCTGGGCGCATTTTGCTGAGTCGTAGAGGTCATTGTCGGGGTAGCAGACGGCGGCGAGCGGGACGGTGGCGATCAGGCGGCCTTTGACGGTTTGGTCAAAGAGGGACCAGTCTGAGGGGGAGGGCCAGCAGGTGTCGGACGGGGTGCAGCGGCAGTTTGAGTGGTCGTCGGCGGTGGTGATGCCGATTATTTCGTCTTGACCTTGTTGAGGGAGGAAGTTGGAGATTGGTTCTTGCGCTAGGTCTGGCTGGGGGTTATCATCGTGGCTGCCGGCGTTGGCGTGGACAACCGCCCCTGGGAAGGTCGTTGTTGCTAGCAAGAATGCGCTGCTGAGGAGGCAGGCTTTTAGCGGACTGAGTGGAAACATGGTGCTGGGGGACAGCAGTGCACTGGGGAATGGTGATGTTGCCGCTGATGGTGTTGATGGGTGATGGTCCGTCAAGAGATACACCGGTGGTTCGAGAATCCAGCCCGCTTTATATCCCAACCGGTCAGTTATCTCTCAACCAATTCATGCGATAATTTCTTCCTGACCTACATCGAGTGGTGACGTTAGCCATCAATCAATCATCATGACGTTTTTTTCTTCCAGGCCGAAGAAGCCGGGAGTCCCGAACCACCTTTCCGGGAAACCGCACCTCTCACTGGTCCCGGTCCGGCGCCGTTGCATCGGAGGATCAGTTCCCCTGTTGTCGACAATGCCGGACATCGCTAACAGCCTCATAAAGCAGTCTAGGCAGTAAACAGGCCTATCGCGATGCCAGCTACGGGTGTTGATCGGTTGGCTAATGCGCTGACACTGCCGAGTCCACGGGCGTGGCGGAGTACTTGGCGCCTGTAGCTCGCCTGAGCCCGAGCGCTATCTCCGGCCGTTAGGTAACTACTAACGAACGCCAACCCGACGACATTCAAACGAGGCCCCCGTTGATTACCCATTTCTGCCCCCGTTGGTTAGGATTTGCGATTGAGCCAGGCCTGATGAGACGGTTTGGTCAGTGGTATTATCGTTCACTTGCCGACGGGACGCCCTCCAGCTCCTGACAGGTATGTATGGCGGGACGCAGGACGGCAGGTTGGTTCATCGGTCTTGTCCCGTCATCAACACCATGGCACTGATATTTTCTACTCTGTATGGGTACCGTCTTGTTGCCGCTTGATTTTTGATGTGGCAGTACCGCTCATGGTGATCAATGACGTGTCGATTCGAAAGTGGAATAGACAATGTCCGACTACAACAAGGGCAGCCGCTCATGGATCCCAGGCAGACAGTACAACAAGGACGAGGACAAATGGCGATACCGCCGCCTAGGGAAGGGCAGTTCCACCAGCAGCAGCAACACTATCGTCAAAAATTCCCAGTCTGCCTTGATGGGAAGTTGGTGATCTCCCCTGGCCAGCTTCCTTTCCTTCTGCCAGACACCGCCTGTTATTGGGATGGAAGGTCCTCCGGAATACAAGAGGACCGCAGCCCAAAAAGCGCAGGAACAACCTGCGGGCCTGGGTTGGCTCTTAGGGGTAAAAGCTTTGGACCTCAAAAAAGTCAAAGATGAGGTGATGTTCCATGGCATCACCGTCTCGCATGGGCCCGAAGTGCCTCAGAATACAAGCGTGGGCAAGGGACTGGGCGTTTTTAGCCCTGACCAGTATGACCAACTGGGGTTCTGATGTTCTTGTTGCCGTTGCTCACAATGCTGCGGGTGATGGACAGAATGGTCTCGATCTAGAATATGGCGGTCTTTGTCGAAGTTCGAGAAAGATGGTGGATGGTTGAGCTGAGGGCCTCCAGTAGGTACCCTCCCTGTCTTCCTCCTTCAAAGCTGTCTTTTTCCGTTTCGCCACTTTCCTATCATGTTCGCGACAAAAATGTGTCCCATTGGCCTTTCTTTCTCCATTGGTATTTGGAATCCTGCCCCTGCAAACGCTCATGTTTTGCAAACCGTTGCCCAGGCTCATGTTCGGTTCGGAACCCTTCCCGCGCTCTCATGTGGGAGAGTTATCATCCTGTCACGCCTCACCAATCCCGTTGGATGAATCACGTTTCAGAATTTTGGGTGGATCAAGAGACGCTCAATAGCTTCCGTCCTGACTTTGTGCAACGGGTCACCAACCGGGGGTGGCCGAGATGAATGTGGTGAGCACAGCAGGCAAACTCACAGAACAGATCGTGGGGAAAGCTGTGAAACATCAACAACCGTGCATGGGGAAATAGGGAGGACTGATTCTTCAAGGATTTCGATGATATTTGTATCATCGCTGCTCCAGGTGCAGGGTTGAGTCTCCCCAGTCCCTATATTACTCGCTGGAGCAGATTCCGCGATGGTGTTTGCCTGTTTGTGCGACTCCTTGAACTCCTCCGCGCATTCCTGGCGTGCCGTGCGCCTGTTATGCGGTCTAGAACTCCCACAATCTTTAAGCGTCTTGATCTTCCGCTCAATCCCTCAACTTCCTTCATCAAGACAGAATGGTAACAAATTATCAACCGCGAAACCCAACGGTCCAACGGCCGATACTCTTTGTACGGTAAACCAACATCAAAATGTCGTTTGTTGCCAGCCGGATGTCCCCTGATATCTCCCGCAGACTGGAAACAAACACGCCACCCAATCTTGTTTGACACAGAAACCCAAGATGAAGGAAGTCGGCGGTTGAGGAAATCGTGTGATCAACAGAGGGGAGACATTCAAGATCTCGTCGTGATGCTCTATAAGAACTGGAAGAACGTTTGAACTTGAATCGTCTTTTTCACTCTCTCCAGCACAGCCATCACCAGCACTACAGACACAACATCACATCGCCTCTACACGCATATAACAAGAACAACAACAACCAACAAACATTCCACCAACCGTCATTCATCATGCAGCTCATCTCTGTCCTTACCGCCCTCACTGGCTTCCAACTCGCCGCCGCCCTTCCCTCGGCCATCAAGGGTACCCACGGTCTCGTTGCCCGCGACGGTACGCTCGGTTCCACGCTTTGTGTGGGCATCAACCTGGACAGGGGTACATACTGCGAGACCATTGACAACGTGCATGACCACTTGACGCCTGGTTACTGCGGTACGTCCCGTCTCCATCCAAACTTTTTCCATGTTCCATGTCCGATGGCAAGAATATTACTAACATTGAGCTTTTTTACTCATGTAGTCAAGCTTGACGACCGGCTCTGGGACCAGGTTTCTTCCATTGCGCCCGTCGCTGGTTCCTGGTGCACCTATTTCACGTATGTACTACCTCGAGGAGTCTCTCTCCTTTGGATCATGAGAACTCTCATGGGCATCTTTCAAACTAACAATATAAAAACACAGGGCCGAAGGCTGCGTGGACACTACCCCCAACGGTTGCGGAAAATTTGACGCCAACTCCCCTATCAACGACTTGACCACTGTGTCTCCTACCAACGCCAACGCCAAGTGTGAGGGCAACATGGACAAGAAGATCCGCAGCTTCCTTTGCAACTACATCTAAGCCCGTCGCGATTCAGGTTTCCCTTGCAGGCGGGATGTCATATATCTAAGGCCTGGTTAAAGGGAAGGGACGTTTGCTTTTTTCACGCTTTGGGCTCCGCGGGATGGTAAACAATGGATGATAGATGTCCCGAACTTCCCGCTCGCGGGTCGTTGCTCGTCGCCATTGTCTGGTGCATTCCGGTCCTTCTGTTTTTTTGGGTTAGAGAATTTCTCTCATGCTTTTGTGCGCTATTATTATGCCTTTCTAGACGAGGGAATCGATTGACATATATATCTATGCTGTCCGCTATTCTATTGCTTCTCAGAATAATCATTGTAACAGCAGGTTTCAGTATCTCACCTCATCTCATCAAAACACACAGATACAACACACATCCCACTACAAAATTTAAACATTCACCATGCAGCTCATCTCTGCGCTCACTGCCCTAGCCGGCCTTCAGTTCGCCGTCGCCTTCCCTTCTTCGATCCTCAACGGCATGAGCGGCAAGCACCTTGTTGCCCGCAATGTTACATCTGGTTCCATGCTCTGCACCGACAAGATCCAGAAAGGAAACTGCGAGACCCTTATGGTGGATTACGTCGCAAACCCCGGCTCCTGCAGTACGTCCAAGCCCAAATTCTTATCTTTACTCCGTTATTGCACCCCCTTCCCCTTCCTGATGTTCGATGGTAAGCCACCTAGGCATGCAATACTAATACGAAGAACCTTTTTACGAAAACTACCTAGTTGCCCTCGACGCATGGCTCACAAAAGATGGAGTCTCCTCCATTTATCCTCAAAATAATTCTTTCTGCACTTATTACGCGTATGTATCACACCTCTAGTCCTCTACCTAACCTACTATATTACTCAACCCCCTTCCGCCACATTTCCCCTAAACATGATTCCCCCTATCCCTATCCTCTTCCGCTCCATCCCATTCTGTCAGATTTACAACCGTTCACGCACATAAACAATCAACGTAACTAACCATTTTCCCCTTCTCTCTTCCTAATACAGGACCAACAACTGCGTCGACCAAACCACGGACCTCTGCGGTCACTACGACGCTACCTCCGCCATCGAGGACTTGAGCAAGGTGACTCCGACTCCGCAAACCGGAAAGACGTGCGGAGGAAATATGGAGAATAAGATTCTTAGCTTTAGGTGCAAGCCTACTTGATTCCTTTGCCTTGAGGGCTGGAGTAGATACCTACCTGAGGTATGAGGTATGAGGTATGAGGTATGAGGTATGAGGTATGAGGTATGAGGTATGCTTCAGGCCAGCAGCGCGGGGGGTTATAAAGGAGGACTGTCTGTTTAGGTAGTTACAAAGGGTATGGAGGGGAACTGGGGAAGGAACGTTTGCTTGCTTGTTTCATGTTTTTGGGGGTTCGGCTGGAGTTCAATGTTCAGGTAACAACGGGAAGTCATTGCCATTGTTTGGCAAAGTCCGGTCTTCTGTTTGGGCCGGGGCGAGGGAGTTCTTTCATGCTTTTTTTACACTCAGATTGCATTGTAACTCGCTGGACGAGGATTAGTTACACACATATATTTGTGTCGTCCGTTGTTCTCTTACCTTTTCAACACGATACTATCGCCTTCCACTTCTCGTGACTGTATCCCCCCTCATCGCCGCATTCCCTTCGGACCCTACACTCACAGGTTTGAACGACAAGCCCAGTTGCCGTGATTGTAATTTCTGGATACAGGGCTCTATGCTGTGCACGGAAGTCAACTATCTTGGATATTGCCAGGAGTTTGCCCAGAAGATTCCCGTGATCTTGTACGAGGGCGAGACCAGTGATCATTGTGGTAGGTTGAACGTCCAGCCCTAGTCCGAGTTATATACCCAATGTTTGATACTAACGGAAGCTATCTACATAGAAACCCTCGACGAACGTCTCAGCGGGAACGTCTCCTCTGTTATGCCTCTCGGGCGCAATCGTTGCTGTTACTATGAGTACGTTCCTGTTGTTTCGAATTTTACCTCCCGTCCCCTCCTTTCCAGTCAAACAAGAAACGAAATAATAGGCGCAGAGACTAACTTACTGACCTTCCATCTCCTGATTTCTTATCCAAATACAGTACCGTAGACTGCTCCTACCGGAACAAGGGCTGCGGATACGCCACCGTCTACAGCCATCATCCCAAGAACGACTTGAGGAACTTGGCCCCGGCCGGGTACGAGGCCAAGTATTAGAATCTTACATGCGAGCCGGATAATATGGATAAGAGAATCCGCAGCTTTAGATGTATGTATGGCTAGGTGATGGTTACTGAGTTTGTTTGTTGGGTGGGATTGTTGAGCTTGGGGTTTGACATTTAGAGTCTGGTTAAGGCTGATTGAAGATTTGGAAGGAGGATTGAGCGTTGGGAAGGAAGGTTGAGAATTAGGAAGGAGTACTTATGACTAGGAAGGCGTATTGAACAAGATGCTCAGGTGTTTTGGCATCTTCTGATGCGGCTTATCCGCACTTGCCGGGTTGCCTCTGCCTCTGCTGGTTGTGTGTGCGTCAATCGCATCCGGCAGGCGCTATCTGCTTGATGCAGACAGGCTAGGGTACATAAGGACCTCGCTGTAGACTCGTCCGTCAAGAGAGGTCTCCTCTCGACATCATCATCATCACAAAGATCAATGACACTCATTCAACCTAGGCTGATTTTCAAGCATCATCTTCCATCTACACCTAAAGATAGGCTAGATAGTCAGGGCGCTGATGTCTGAGGAATGCCCTTTATCTTTTCTCCTTCTTCCTCTTTCTTTTCGACAGTGTGCCATCCACGGGTTCACGCTCATTCCTTCTTTATTCTACATCCACATCATACCTTCACGTCAACAAAGAGAACGGGGCATTTGCTTGTGTTGTTTGCTTCAAATTCCAGGTTAACATGAAATGGACGGCAGGTATCGCTATCCCGTGTGGATTTACCGGGGCGGGACCTCTTTGTAGTGATTTTGTTTGCTTAGGTAAGAGGGGGATTTTCTCTCATGATTCTGCCACCTTATACCTTGCTACTTCTCACTCGCCTCTTCCATATCTGTGTCCCCGTTATCAACCACTCATTATGAAATCAGGATTATCATCACTAGCACGAGCATCTACCCTAGCAGGTCCCTAAATTCTACTTCCACTTTTCGAAGTTCCTTTTGTTAACATTAGATGTCAGATATCACAAGCTGCGTCCTGGAAATGGCAGTGTGCGGACAAGTTTCATTCTACCTAGGAAGGCCAAAGAACAATGAAAGGGAAGGAGCAACTCTTTGCTTGTTTAATCCTTGTGAGTTGGGTTTCGGTTCAATCAACCAACAAGGGAGCATTTCTTTCATCCCTTTTGCTGTGTCATCCCTTGAAGACGGGTAGTCGCTCGCTGGACTTGGATTTAAATTAGAAACTCCCCTTGGATGCCACATGCTCTTTCCCCTTTCCACATTTGTGTCTCCGTCATCCATCTCAACCCGTTGGCCAGTCGTGCCTTCGCCTTAGCGCCCATCCACTAACGCTTCCGTATAGGTATTTAGGCTGCCCTTCTTGCCGTTTCCTCTTCCTCCGTTACAATAACCACACTCAACCTACACATTTACCATTGCCTTTCCCAGTCCAAAACAATCATGCAACCCAGCTTGGTCTTCAGTACCTTGGCCACCCTCAATGTCGCCGTTGTCGCCGCTCTTCTCTCCACCTTTAAAGAAGATGCTCTCGTTACCCGCGATAACGTAAAGCCCTTCGGTACCAAGATCTGCGTGGATGTCAACTTCCGTGGACTTTGCCAAACCTTTTCTAACACGACAACGGGCTTGGGATTTACTTCATGTAGTACGTTAAAGCCCCTATTTATGAACCTGTCTGCAGTAGAGATGGCCATTAACACGCTGAGCCTGTCTGTGTAAATATAGTTCGTCTCGACGATAGTCTTAGGGGTCTCGCCTCCTCCGTTGAACCATTCGAGAATACGCTATGCCATTACTACATGTACGTACCTACACTCTCTACATATCTACCTACACTTATTACAACAATTGGTAGGAAGATTAATGATCATCGGCTAAACTTGTTTAAATTCCTAAAGGCTGGACCGTTGTGAATTGCCGAATGACAATCCTGATAACTTCGGCTGCGCGGTCTACGGCGTGCATTCGAGTATTCCAGACTTGAAGACGAAGGCCGCGGCCGGAATCAGTTGGGGGTCAAAATGCAATGGTATTAAGAATATGGACAAGCAGATCCGCAGCTTCCGATGCTTTCCCAATCCTTGGCTGGGTGGCCTACCAACCTGAGATACACTAGGTAGTCAGAGTCTCAAGGTTCAATGAAGCGGAGGGGACATCATGTCACTTGCTTGTTCGCTTCCATCTTCCGTGCTTCAGTTATAGTCAACAGTGACTGGCATCAGTTGTCTCGCGCCTTCGCGTCGCCGCTGGTTGCTATCGTCTGGAGGTGCCTCCGGCGGACCAGTTCTGTCTTCAAGAACGGGATTTGCTCTGAAGATCAGTCTTGTGATACTCTATGGTACTCGCTCGATTGACGAGGATTTGAATCAGCTGTGGTATTCTGTATGGTCGCTGTTCTGTGCTACGGGACTTCCGACACTGTCAATTGCGCCACAGTGCAGTCAACTGCAACTTGGGTGTGGTGGGGAGCATGCTCTTGCATGTGATTCTGGACCAATCCAACTTCCCTTCCTCCTCAAGTCCTCATCCATCTTTACTCACCACCACCACCATCGTAGGTACCTACCTACCACCTAGAGGTAACCAGGCTACCATCTCTCCCCCTCCCCCTTCCTCCTCCCCCCTTTCTTCAGCCCCGGGTAGCCTGCGCAACTCTCTCCTTCCACTTAACTCGTCCCTCCCTGGACCCCTTTTCCTCCAACGACGGTTGCAGCAGCACCCGTCCCCTTCACCTTCACCTTCACCTTCACCTTCACTCGCAACACCCCAACCCCTTGCCACCACCGGGCCCGTCCCCGACTTGAGCGCGAGCTCCTCCACCATGGCCTTGAGCATCTCGGGCGCCACCCGCTCCACAAGCCAATCCACGGCTCACCAAAGCCAATTATCCCATGCCGCCATTCTCGTCCACAACCCGGAAAGGTCGACGACTTCTTGCACCGGCGGTCGGCGGAGGGCTTCGTAGGCGCAGAAAGTATTGATCAATTCTTTCGTGTTTGGGCCCCCCAACAACGTCGTCGTCATCATCGTCGGTGAGGGATTTTTTACGGAGGTTTGTGCGCGTCCATGTACCACTCCATCTCCATCTCCATATCCATATCCATATCCATATCCATATCCATATTCATGTCCATGTCCTTGTCCTGCTCCAGTTCTGCCACTACTGCCACTACCAACAGTGTGGCTACCTCTACCTCTAGAGGTACCTCTAGCTAGGAGAAGAGAGCAGAGACTGTTAGTCAAAGCCACAACGTCCTGTATCCCTTCGTTCAGTCCCAGTCCCGTATTAGGCGTCATCCTATGCGCCGCATCACCCGCCAGCACCATCCGCCCGTCTTTGGTACTTGTATCGTACCAAGCCCGCTTTATCACCCCTTCTTCGAGGTCGGACATGTGCGACCAGGTGCACTTTGCCCAGATGTCTTGGACTGTGTAGGCGGGTGATAGGTGGTGGTGGCCGAGAGAGGCGGCGAGGGTGGCTTGGTCCTGTGGGGTGTAGTGGTGTCTTTTTTGTTGTTGGGTTTGCTGGGTTTGGGTTTGGTTTTGGTCTGTGAGGGTGTCGGAAGAGGAGGAGGAGGAGGAGGAGGAGGAAGGAGGGAACGCCAATGCGGGAGCAAATGAGAAAGAAGATCATGTTAGTGGAAGAGGTTAGTTGGAGGGTGAAGTTCTGGCCGTGGGTTTCGTAGATGGTTTCGGGGGGGTAGCGAGGGGAAATGAGTGGTCGGTGCCGGGAGAGAGGACGACGTGGCCTTGGATGGCTTTGTAAGTGGCTTTTAGACCTTGGGGAAGGAATTGGGGTTGGGCATGGTTGTTGTTGTTGTTGTTGTTGTTGTTGTTGTTGTTGTTGTTGTTGTTGTTGATATCTCTACTTAAAGTCTTGTAAGTCGGGGAATCAAGGGGATTCAATGGTGTTGCTGCTGTTGACGGTGGGTTCTTCCTGAGCTTGACATCCGTGTCCTTCTCCCTCTTCATGTCATATCCGGGTTTGTTGTCCATCAGTCTCCGAACGACACTGTAAGCGCCATCCGTGTCGAGGACGATAGACCCTTGGTGCGTGGTCCCATCGGCGCAGGTGACTGTGACGCCCGTCTCGTGCTTGACAATGTCGGTCACCTCCTTTTGAGTGTGGACTTTGGTTTGTCGGCCAGGGAGACGATTGTAAAGAATCTTGAGAATTTTGGCCCGGTGGAAAAGCAACTAGGGATGTCCGTATCTGTCAAATTTTACCCATCAAGCTATCAGTTGCCTCAACTAGCCCAAACCGAGGATTGTACGTCAATTGGAAGTCATTCGTCAAGGGGACACAGGAGTGATGGGTACCAACAGTTTCTGAATCATCCCACCCAAATCGGACTTGGTCAACAACCTCCCATCAGGAAGCAAGCCGCACTTGTACTTGATCGGGATGTAGGCTGCCATGGCTTCGTCCAAGAGGCCCTGTTGGTCAAGCACTCTTGCGCTTTGTGGCCATAGGGATTGCGCTTTGTGGCCATAGGGATTGCGCTTTGTGGCCATAGGGAAAGGCCTGCGCCGGCGTCGTGGTCCAATGCCTTTCGACGCTCGAGGATTTCGAAGTCGATGCCTGCACGCGCGAAGCAGTGGCCTGCTATGAGGCCTACTGTGCCACCGCTCACGATAATTACCTTGAAGTTGGACATACCTAGGGTACCTGTAGTTATAAGGGGTGTCAAGACACCCAAAGAAGGGCCGGTAGTAGACAAATTTCAGAGTGAAAGGTGTGGAAAGAGCACCGTGACCGGCACATATATACACCCTCAACCCAGAGTGCCCTTTGCCTAGTGTAGAGGTATGTCCATGGCCACCAACCTCCGCCAGCCACATCACTTGGCTCCAAGGAGAATTACAAGGCCTCAATAATCCTCCAAGTGTGCGTCACGCACTGTTAGCTCAGCGGCCCGTTCTGTGTCTAGACCTCGTGAAAGATAAGAGCGTACAATCCAGCCCTGGAAAGCCAGGACTTATCTACTTCAAGTTGGTCAAGTAGGATTTGACGGCGGGTCAACATCGCGGGTGGTGCGAGTTCGAATCGTTGCTCTCCACCTTTGCAGTAAAAAAAAAAGCCTCCCGAAGTCAATCAATTCCCCTGCCACCCCAGGCAGGTGTCACTTTAGCCTACTTTCCGGCTTCGGACTGTACGGAATGCAGAGCTTCGTTCGTGGACCAGTTGGGCACCGTTCGATCAAATCCGTGAGGATGAAAGGGCATGGAGCACCATTGACACACGTCTAAGCATCAAAGTTGTTCGCGGAAAAAGGGTATTGCAATATGCCACCATACCATCCAGACCAAAAAGACACCTACCGTGAACATCGAGCAAGAAGAATATATATACACTGCAAGCACGCCTCTTCACCAAATATCGTCATGCATATGGTACAAAGGAAACGAAAGCGAGTAAAGCATCGAACCACCCATCACCAAGTATTCCACTTTGAACATCAATTTAGGGTACCACCTCGACTGTTCACTGTTCATCTCTCCTTTCCCACGCTCTTTGGCATTCTTGGTCTCAACCTCAGATTCAAAGCTTCATCACGACCTCTGTTTCCTTCTTCTCTTCATATTTCCCGTCCACTCCCTCACCAGACTCATCCGCACCAGCACCTCCAATCACCATCGACAAGAGCACCGCCGGATCCCAGCCCTACTCGAAAGACCTCGGCTGCTGTGTGACTCCCGCCGATGCGTTGTTGAACGGATTAGGGTTCAGCATCCTCTCCTCACTTCTAGTCTCAATTGTCCACTCAATTCTCACTCCCCCATGCGGGGGCATCGTCCTTCCTCGTTCGACATCATCATCCATAACCGCCTTCTCCAACTTTGAATCAAAGGGATAACTGTCGTCATCATCCAAGTCGTCGGCCTCGTCGTCGATGCAAGCTAGTTCGCGGTCGAAGTGGTCTACGCTTGGATGTTGGTTGACTCCCTGTTGTCCGTGGAGATGTCCGTCGCTGGCGATGTGAGAGGTGACGCCTGTGTTACGACTACTGTAACCAGGGTATGGAACGGGTGGAAAGTTAGGCATGTGCATCGAATACTGAGTAGCGTTATGAAGACTCGGACTCGGGAAACCCGAGGAATCGTTAGTCGAAATAGTTGAGCGAGTAGTCATAAGCAGAGGTCGTTGGCTGGAGGATGCGGAGCTAGCTGTCATGCGCTTTGCTTTGGGGAGACAGCTAACGCCACTTTTGGCGATTGAAGAAAAACTCGTGGTTGTGTTTGTCGGTGTGGCATTGATGTTACCGGCTTCGGCTCTTTTGTCTTTGTGATGATCATCGCCGGTAAGGTTCAGGTCGCTGAGCGGCATGCTGTTGGGTCCTCCGGAAGCTTCAGAGTCAGGCAGTAATCCCCTTGTGGCAATACGCTGGGCGACGAGGATGCCGAGCGGAAGAACGATGACGACGGAAGTCTGGGTGAGTGAGCCAGATTCGAAACCACTGGAAGAATCGAGGAATTCGAGACCGGCGAAGAGGAGGGGGATCAGCATCAGGATAGCGTTGGTGATAATCAACACATCCATTGCCTTCAGGCCCTTCATCGACGGGAGGATGCTTCGGCTGGTCCACATGTGCATGACCAAACGGATCATGAACAAAAAGGTAAACCAGGAGATAGAACCGGTCGTCAAGGCGAGATATAGCTTGCGCACCCAATAATCGGGAAGCGGGGTGGCGTAGAGGATGTTTTCGGCTTGGAAAATGCAGTTGGCGAAGGAAAGGACGACGGTGGCCACGGAAAGCAGACCGGAGACTAAAGCGACCAGAGCACGCCAGAGGGGCGTCCACAGTTGCATCATGCTCCAGGCTTGCACCATCAGCGCTGACAAGAGGAGGGCAGTAACGGGGATGCTGAGCACAGTGGCGGCGACGCTGATGGACATGTCGCTTCTTGGCACAAATTGCCAGTCACCTGTGTACAGCACATAAAAGTCCGTCCAATGGCTGGGGTAGAAGAGCGAGAGAAGCACGACGCGGATGAGGTTGAGTAAGAGACCCAGGAGACTGATGATGGTAGGCAACCGCTTGAACCGACGGCGGGGCGTCATGAGAAGCATGATGGCAAGCATGATGAAGGTTGCGCCGATCTGGGTGGCGTAATTGATGGCGATAGAGACCAACATACCATTGACCATGTCGATGTCGGTGGTGGTTATGTTGAGGAGTTGGCCGTAGTTGTCGAAGAGGAAGAGCATCTGGTTCTCGAGGTGGTCGCGGTCCGGAGAGGGGATGGGGAGGGTGAGGGTGGCGTGCGTGGTGTTGAGAGCCTGGCTTATGCCGCTGTAGAGGTCTGCGGGGAAGGATGAAGCCATGGTGCTGGTGGGTGCCGACGAAGGCGATGAGTGGTTGTTGTGGTTGGATGTGTTGAAGGGATTCGGAGCTGGGTAGTGTTAGTCTTGTTCAACCTTTTCATCGAGTTGACGTTTTGCACATACCCTCTTTACACCCGCAAAGACAAAGCAAGATGGACCCTGGATGATGGTCGAGTCAAGCGAACTCTGTATACTAGACTTGACCAAGACCAGAAGCCGAACAGAAGGTGTGGTTGCTATCTGCAGATGAGTGCCGACGACCTTGTTAAATGAGTGACGATCCTTCACAACCGTCGACGCCAAGTGATACGACGAAGGAGTTAGTGATTAGTTTGGTTGAGAAAAGAAAAGTTCAGTAAGACGAGCTTCTCCTTGATGGCGGCGCTATATTGGACTTGGGTTTGGTCTTGCTTGGAGAAGAGGAAGCCAATTCCCTTTTCTGGCGAGTTGTGGTTGAAGTTCAAGTTGAAGTTGTAGTCGCGGTACCTTCTTGCACCAGAAGAAGGATTAAGACGATGGCCCATTTTCCCTCTATGCAAGTGTTCCTATTCTCTATCATGACAGTCGATTAAAGGCCATATGAGGAACCGGTACATCATATTGTGGGGCGGGAGTGGGAAGTGAGCGCACTGAGCGGTGATAACAGCACGGGTCGCTGGATGTGAGGAGTTGATAATATAAAGGAATGGGAGACATCCAGAATGTCTTATTGTCTTGAAAATCGCATCGCAGGGGGTAAACTAGGATAATATCAATTGAAAGCTTGGGAATGAGGCCAGGGGCGTCTTAGCATTGTTTGTTCCCGAGAGCTTAGTATTGTTCGTCGACATATGCGTGCACGCGACCCACTTTTTTCTGATTGCCCTTCACAATCATGCAGGAATCCCAGGAATCGCACGTGGTGACAGGTTAGTGTAATGCAGTGCGAGACGGGATTGGAGATTTTGGGAGACGGCAGTATAATATGGAAGCGGGTGCGATGTTTTGAAAATGTTGAGATGAAAAAGATGCTGTGGAACCTCAGTACCGACTGAAGGCATGGGCCGGTTTGCGGATTGCAACAGCCGGATATTGCAGAGGCTGATGTGGGCGAACGTCACGGTTTCGCGATTGGAGACCCTTTTCTTGCTGGCCCAATCCATTGACCTGTCATTGGGGAAAGCTTCCACTGTGTTGTAGGGGGTGATTGAATCAAAGGGCTTCGGATATTGACCGGTTCTTGGTGTGACCGTTCAGGCCGAATAAGGGGGGCGAGGAGGGAGGGGCCTAGGCCGGAGAGGCAGGCTATGTCGTCACTGTATCCCTAAATATGCCTTCTAGCCTTCCGGGGAAGACAAAAGACAACATCCCGCCGGCACCAATGTTCCCCTTTTATTGGATCACGAACGAATCGGGTTGAAAGTCTCAATCCGGACCTTGAGTGATGAAGGATCTGGATGTGACACAGCAACGGGGAGCCCCAACACCGGCTCAAACCCACGCTGGCCCCAACTAGCACTTTGGCTACACTTCCGGGTAGACATCCCTAGCCAAAGTCAGCATCCTCTCACGGATTATTCCTTCTTGTTGGTCACGAGAAGTAATGGAACGGGGCGAAACACTTACGTCCTCCTCCTCAACGGCACCTCCGCCCTAACCTTCTTCATCAACTCCAGATCAATAGTAGCCGTTGCAATTTCAGGCTCATCGCTCTTATCTCCCACACTAGCCACGATCCTTCCCCACGGATCAATGATCAAGCTATGGCCGTAGCTGACCCGCTTTTCGTTATGCCTACCAACCTGTGCCGCAGCAATGATATACGACTGCGTCTCGATCGCCCTCGCCCTCAGCAGGACCTCCCAGTGTGCTTGGCCGGTGGGGACAGTAAAGGCTGAAGGGTAAGTGATGATCTCGGCTCCCTGCCGTCGGAGAGAGATGCCAATTTCTGGGAAACGGAGCTGAATTGAGGTAAGTAGGTTCAGTCAGCCACATGCCGTGCACTTACTTGAGGAGTGAGGTTGAGACTTGAGAAGTGAGGAACTAAACGGTGGATGGGAGAACTGACATCAAAACAAATAGTCGACGCCACCTTGCCGAAGGAGGTCTCAAATGGCGGCTCAATCTTGATACCCGGCTCTACGCTCTGGCTTTCTTTGAGGACTGGACCGCCCTGGATGTCGACGTCAAAGAGGTGGATCTTTTGGTACCGGTGGGCAATCTCGCCTTGCTCGTTGATCCAGATGACGGTGTTCTTGACGCGTTGGGAAGACTGGCTGGGCTCGTGTACACCGACATGGATCGGCAGCTTTTCGCGGCGGGCTTCATCTTGGAGTCCTCGGACAAACTCGCTTTCTTGCACGGACTTGCACAGGCTGAGGCTTTCTTCGGCGGATGAGGAGATGTAATCTGTTGCCTCAGGGAGGAAGAGGGCCTATGGTGGTGTTGTGGTCAGGGTCTGGACACACCGTGCCGAGCAGTCTGGAGTATTCCCCCAATCTTTAGACGAAAAAGTGACTGACCTTTGCACCAGCTTTGACTGCTTTCTTGACAAGAATCTGGCATTGGCGGAGGTTGTTGGCCATACTGGCCGTTGACGTCAACTGACCAACGGCCTGTTCGTTATCGTGTCAGCAACGTATCGTTATCGGAATATTGTCACCGCGATCATCGTCAAACAGATGTTGTAGGAGGCAAAAGACTCACAACAAGAGCCATTGTAATGATCTTGATTCAATTCTAACTGTGTTTGCTGCAAGAATAATGGCTTCAGACAGTCGTGCAGGTGAAAAAAAAAAAGAAGAAAAAAAAGGAGTGTCGTTGATGAGTTTCTTGGCTGATTGTTGTTGCTGCGGGGTTTGTTTGACGCTATCGCGACTGCAACAGTGGCAATCAATGGCGTGTTGCAGTGCAGTTGTGACGGCGGTTGCACTAACAATTTTGGCCCCTAACCCTGGGTAAAACAAGGGCCGATGGTACCCACACTTGCCACACAATGCCGGGGGAAAAATCTTCAAAAAAGCAAACATTGAAATGTTAATATCACGATCCACCCAGGGGTCGAACCTGGAACCTCCTGATTCGTAGTCAGCATTGAGCCAGCGGACCTTGTTGGTATCTCGGTCGAGAAGTAGTCTTCATATTGCCTCCCATTCCCATTCATCATTCCAATGCCGTTTACTTCACCAATACACCTCGAATTGTCGTGCGGATTGGGATATGCATCAGCCTTTTGCATCACCATCGAGATGTAGACACTTTGCTGGGGTGAGTGAGAGTCCCTTTGTCGGCGGCTGACTGACAAATGTGGAAAGCCGAGCATCGAAGCCGAAGCTCAGCATGGGAATCGTGCCATGACAAAGGGACAGAAGGCAGATTGTGCTCAAGTCGGAGCAGTCCGAGTTCTGGTCGATGGATCGTGGTTGATGATCGATGGGTAGGTATGAAGATCTGAAGTCCAGTCAGTGTCTGGTGTCATGACAGCAAGCTCATCACATCTTACCAACAAACTGTAGACGCATTCCACCCACCCTTCGTTTCCCTCCTTCAACCGCCACGGTCACCATCGGTCTCCATTTAGCTAACTTCAGGCCACCAAGTAGGAGACCAAGCAGTGGAACTGGCACGACAGCAATGTCAAGGACTGGACGGACAAGTGGGAGTTGTATGAGGTTGGCGAGACCAGGTTTAACGATCAAGCCATTGCTTCAGCTGCTACGTATGCTCCCATCTTGGCATCTTGAGGGCGGAATGCTAACTGGGTGGCATACGTTTCCAAGCCATCCAGGTCATGGACGAGGTGTACACGCTTGTTGACAACAACTGCCAAAGGTTCACGCTCAAGCTTCTCGATAAGCTCCTTGATGAGAGAAATCCGAATGAGGGTCGAGGTTGAGATCGCCTATGTTAAGGACGGCTCGGCGCACGTCGATCTCTTGCATAAGGCCTTGGAGCACATGGGCGACAACACACCGACGTTGGCAGAGGAAAGAGAACGTCGAGGAGATTCCTGAGTATGGGGATGACGCCGAGAAGAAGGAGTAGGAAGAAAGAGCGGGTGGGCAGCTGTCTTTGCACAACAGATCGTACAATTAAGGGAACACCTGGTGGAAGACTGCCCAGAGTATTTCGCAGCGGCGCAATGGGTAGGAAGGTAGAAATGATCGAATCGGCAGAAAATTTCGGAGATCGGATCCGAGCCCGATTATTGGCATGGTTGGTAAGTCTGGTTTGGCGAAAATGGCAAGTAGAACGTGCCAGAGCCGAAGTTTGTGTTTTGTGGCCTCACTGCGAGAGACAAAAATGAGAACTTGGTGGGCGACGAAGAAAATTTGCTTGTCGCTTAAGTAAAGCAAAGATTGGGAAGGAGGTGGTGATGACGAGGCCTAGAGGTAGGTACCTCTACCTATCGAGCCGGCAACCGGCAGTGGGTGTCTTATTCTTTCCTTCCAGTAAGTTGAGGTTTTTGGAAGTGACGTCTAAGGAGGAAGGCACCACTTATCCATGGCAGCCCAGCAGACCCAGGGACATTTGAATCGGCAAGGGAAAGACGCACTTTCCGCGACAGCATTGGAAGTCGGACAAGACCAAGGGCCATCACAGCATGATCAACCTGGATCCAATCACGATCCATTTCTCTCCGCTTTCATCCACCTCATCCCTCCAACAGGTCGAGGCAAGTCTCGCATACCTACCGTTATCAGTGACAGCTCAAGTCTGCACCACTTACAACCGACGGCGTTTCATCACCCCACTCGACCATTCCCTTCCTTTTGAGATCTTTATTTTCCAATGCCCAACTCTAGCCCGGACCTTTCTCCCACCTCGGCGGGTCGTATGGATGAATCACGGTCACCGGCTCGAACTGACTTCACCGACGCACAACTGAAGCCAGCTCCTCTACGATTGACTAGGAAGAGCAACTCGAGCAGCGGCCAAAGTGACAACAGCCTATCTCCAAGTAACTCATCGGCCACCTCAGGAAGAACTCCCAACGGTGCCAAACGAGACAACAAGGAGAGCCTCAACACCATCATCCACAGAGCTGCAACTCCCTCCACCTTCCGAACAGCTCCCAGCCAAACCTCCCCCAAGCTCGCCTCTCTGGTGTCCAAGTTCGAGATACTAGATGTCATGGGTAATGCTGGCGCCGGAGCCTTGAGGCTTCCATCTCCAGAAAAGAGCCAAAGGCCACCCAGGGTCCCAACGCCAACACCAGATGAAGCAGAGTTACGGCGTGCTACCAAACGCCAAAGCCAGCATCTGACCAAAAACTGGTCCAGTCAGAAACACGTTCAGATCTCCCTGCCCAGGTCGTCCCAGGCCCCACGAGGAGCTCGCTCCCAGGGAGTGGCTTCCGATGCCGAAGTTCCCATTGCCAGCAAACCTAAACATTGGGATCCCAGCGGGGTTGCCGAGAGACGAAAGCTCTTCGAGTCGGGCAGCACCGGTATGTTACCGCCCCGCGAACTCTTGTATGATGCCTGCTTCGGGATCAAAGCTAACGGTTGCAGTACCTCGACCTTTTGATAGCCCAGGTGCCACCACAATTGTCACACATACGGTGGCTCGTGTTCCTTCACAGGGCGAGCAAAAGAGACAGGATTCTGAGATTGTCAAGTCTGACCAGTCTTCCACGTTCTCGGCGCGGCGACCTATTACTGCTCAAGTCTCGGCTCCCGCTCTATCATCTCAACCGTCGGCAACAGAAGAGGTCGGACCAGGGAGAGAGAGAAGGAAGAGTGTTGCTGCTCTTCGAATGTCTTTTGAGCGCTCACCTCTGCCCGATCTTCGTCCAGAGACGCCAAGCTCTGCCCATCGGCCGTTCCGTCGATCGCTCCTTCAAGGTCTATCAACCGCCACCGAAGTCCCAACACCGGTCACACCTAGGCGGGGACCAAAGGATCCCATTACACCAACGCGGGTCAGAAGTCTTCGTTCTTCAGAGGTCTTTGCTCAGACGTATCCTCGCCTGGGACAGGCAACAACCCATCCTATCCATGGAGCCGACAGCAACGCCGCATTGAGGCTGAAGCAAACACAGCTTCACAACACAGCTTCTCGCGTTGTTGGTGCGCATGACGGCAATGTTTCTGATGCCGACGTGGACCTGCGAAGACCCGTCAACCGAAAGAACAGCGACACCCCAACCAGGACATCAGGGCGAACTTCCACCCGTCGCCCCAGCTCCCATCACCTTTTGCTCCTTTCACGCACACTCTCCGTCAAAATCACCACGGGCCCCCAAGCTCTGGTGACCCTTCAACAGCCGTGGGCAAACTCTTCTGGGTCTCTACCCCTTACTACATCCTATAGTCACGGCTATCTGGACCAGCAAAAGTCCAAGTCAGGCGGTTCCAGTGACTCATCAGCGTCAGCACCACTTGCCCCTGCCAACAGAGTCAAGGATCTACAAAAGGTGTTTGACAATAACCCCTCGGCTGCAGGTTCAGCGCCGTTCCTTCCCTTCATCCAAAAGCGCAGGGCGCAGACCTTGACCCTGGGGGTTCCCGCCAAGTCCAGTCCCAGTGCGCCCATGATGGTATCAACTACCGTTGCGGTGACAACCCGAAAGGCATCTCGTCGCTCCTCACAGCAACAACAGCAGCAGGAGAGCTCGGACGTGATTCCCGAGACCGCTAGCTCAACTGCCTCGAGTGTGGTCCGAACACGCAAACGAAGCAAGACGCTGCCATCGTCACTCGGCGGGTATCGGCCTAAGTCCTCGGGCCCAGCTGCTGGCACTGGGTCTTTGGGCTATACCAGCTACTTCCAGCGTAGGAAGATCAAGAAGCAGCAGAAGCAGAACATGAAGAGACTCGCGGCCGAAGAAGATTCACCTGTCAAGGAGCGTATCAGCCTCTTCGAGCAGCTCGGCGGTGGCAGCAGCCACGGTCACTCAAGGAACGGTGGAAATGGATGTGGCAGCATAGTGAGCCTGCCACTGTCGATGCACAGCAAACGGAAGTCGTCGGAGCCCACCAGTTCGTCTGAATCTCGCTGTGATCGTTCGTCTCAAGATACCGATCAGGTCCGCTTTTGTAGGAAGGGTCGCGAAAGTTCGTCTTCGGGTAGCAGGGTGATGAGGGTATTGTCTTTCGGTACGAGCGGCAATGGCAACGGCAACCGCAGCAGTAGAAATGGTAAGGTGCTTCGGGCGGCGGGGCGGAAGATCAGTAATGCCGTGTCCATGTCAATGTCGATGTCCAAGAGAAAGAATAGCGGAAGCGGAGACGGCGGTGAGGGGAAGGGGAAGGGCAAGCTGAAAGAGAGTAATGGAACCAAGGCGCAACCACTTGTCTTGAGCTCAACGAACAAGGAGACGGGCGAGTCAACGTTCTTCGTGAAAGGCGTGTTGTGGAAGGTATCGGGCTCGCACGGGGATCTTGATCTCGATGTTGCGGTGGAAGAGGGCCAGCGTAGTCCAGAGGAAGAGGGTCGCAAACGCAAGGAATCGACCACCGAAACAACCACGACGTCGTTTCCGAGCACGCGACCATCGGCTTCTGCATCCGGATCCGGAGAAGGATCGTCAGGGTCGGCCGGGGCTGTTGCTCGGCACCCAGTCTTGCAGCATTGGCCTCAATTGGACAGGGTCAGTCGGACGGTGCCACACTATGACCGTAAAAGCTATGGGTCTCTGTCGGCTGAGGAAGACAGCGTAGCCCCTGAATGGTCTCGAGGCTTGGACGACGATGACCCTTTTCTTCAACCGACTCGGCAGCCTCAAGTTGTCGGTGGCGGCAGCAGCGGCAACAAGATCAAGAAGAGCGCGACGGCCCCGAACGACGTCGGCGGCAGCATCATGCCCCTGAGCCAAAAGCGCGGTTTCCTCCCCACCCGAAGATCTCATGGAGATGTTGTCGAGGCTGTCCGTGGCCCATCCACTTCCCTGAGGAAGAGCTTCACCATGGCTGTGTTGCCTCGGCTCTCAAGCGGAAACAGCAGCACTGATGATTATAGCCAGGATGCTGACGGGAAACCGAAGGCTAACAAGTTGACTAAGAAAGGAAAGGAAGTGAGAACATCGTTCCCGCCTCGACAGTCCAGTATTTCCTGGGGGCAGAGAGCAGCCGCCGCTGCGTATGGTATCGGCCAGAGGTTGAAGGAACGCAAGGGAAGCGGCCGATCGTCATCATTGTTGGGGAAGGGTGGTGTCGAAGCTGGTACCAGTACCGGTGGAAACAGTAGTACCACTAGTGACGCCGCGGTCACTGTCGCTACGGCTGCCGTTCCCATTCCCATCAGTACTATTACCACAGAGTCGCTGCATCATGACGAGTAGGACGTTGTGGTGGCGACGCCCAAGGGTGGGCTGCAGCATCCGAGGCCGTCGAGGGTGCTGAACTTGAGGAGGATCGAGAGTTTTAGCGGTGTAGAGGATAGGGTGAAGAGGCTTGAAGCAGTGGCCAGGGATCGGATGCTGGGGTTGTGTGATGGGTCGGAGTCGTTGGCGAAGGTCTCTGGAAAAGCTGGGAAAGCGAGCAGTGTTTTTCATGCCAAGGTATGAATGGAAGTCTAGTCTTGTGAAGGGAGATCGAAGGGAAGTCAGTCAGGTATAGAGTAGTTGCCTATGGTAGGCATTGTTAGAGCAGCGGGCAGACGTTTCTGGTTGGTTTGTTGGTCTGTTGTTGGATCATGCTTTATTGGGCCCCTTTTTGTCTTTTTGTGTGACCTTCATATGTTAGGTTATCGGGAGGTGGTAATGTGATGGTTGGTTTGTGATAGTTGTTAGAAAAGAAATAGTTGATTCGTATTCTTGTGTCTCCTTCGGTGTAACTGTCAAATCTGTTGATGGCAAGTAAGCACCCACAAACCAAAGGAGATACCCAAAAAGGGCTGTAGGTCATGTATCATCCATTCATCTACATCGCATTAATCTACCTTATCTTCCATCATCACCGTTAGTTACTGACTCAACCCCATCCCATCCCCAATCTTCTTAACCAGCGCTTTCTTCAAGTACCACTCTCTCGCCAACCCCCTAACCATCTTCGCATGCGTCCCAGGCGCAATCCGTCCCCTCTCCACCGCCCTCCCCAACATAAATATCGCATCCGCCAATGCCCGTTCCTCAGCAACCAATTCATAAAGCTGGTTGCCCACCACCGTAGGCGCAACCAGTAATTCATCGATATCCGGCTCTTTTAACGTTTTCGAGTTCTCTATCACGGCGTCTGCCTTGCGTAGACTCTCTTGTAAGACAGCAGTGTTGGATTGGAGAAGGGCAGATAAGTGCGAAAGTTGCGCGTATTCGGACTGTAAAGTATTGGCTGCTTGGGACATTGCGGCGCGTTGCGCTTGTAAGCCAGCGAGGGAGGTCTCGTTTTGGGTGCGGGCGTGGTGCCGGTGGGAATGAAGGGTTTGGGCTAGTTGGTGCAGGAGGGCGTCTTTTTCGGGGTTTGGAGGCGGAGGAGGGGGCGGTCCGCTGGTGTTGGAAGAGGTGAGGTTTGTTAGTGTATTAAGGGTTGAGGAGGGCGGGGAGGCGGGGGTGTCGTCGTCTAGGAGGTCGGGAGGTGGAGGGGGTTTGGGTTGTGCTTGTTGGACGACTGCTGGTGGGAAGTTATGGTGTTGTGGTATGGCTTGAGGGGGGTGCCCATGTGATTGTTGCCAGTTGGGTGGCGGTGGAGAGCCGAAGTGTTGCCCCTGGGGAGGGGGAGGGTGTTGTTGGAGAGTGGACATCCTTCGTGGGTCCATGGGTGGGAACGGAGGTTGTGGTGGTGCCTGATGATGAGGTAAGGCGGCGGGCATCGGAGGTGATTGGTATGGCGCGCCATGGGGCGGTTGTGGTTGTTGATGCTGCAGCTGTTGTGTCGGATGAGAAGGTAGTGGCGGAGGAGCATCGTAGCGAGAAGGGCCAGATCTAGGGGATTGCGGTGCCGGTGCTCCAGGACCACCGTATTGACTCGTAGGTCTACCGGAATGGGGAGGATGGGGAGGCACTGGAGGAGCGGCGGCGTATGATGGTGCCGGAGAGGGCTGATGGTGCGGCGTGTGAGCAGCATGAGCAGGGGCGCCGGGCTTCGGTGGTGGAGGCGGAGGTCTTGTCCCGTCTCGTTGGACCGGTGACCTCGCGGCTAGTTCTTGGGGAAGTGGTGGTACTGGCGGTGGTGTAGGTGTTGCTGGTCCTTGTGGTGGCTGTGGTTGTTGCTGCTGCTGAGGTGGAGGCGACCGGACCTGGCCCTGGCCCTGGCCCTGAGGTGGACGAGCAACAACGGGAGGCTCTTTGGCAAATACATCGCGCAATATGGCCAGGAAGTCCAGGATGGTGGATTTATCCCAATATGTCGACCAGCCGGCAAGGTAGGGATGATAGACCTGACCCTGAGGGTCGACGTGTTGGCCGGGCCGGACCATGATGTGCTCGGTCGGGGTCACGTAGACCAAGGGGGCCTCTCGGGGATAGGCGTGGGGAACCCATACTGAGATGGGGAATCGGTAGGTGGTGCCGCGAAAGACGACGGGGAGTGTTCCCGAGAGGTGGACGAGGAGGGCGGACGCGCCGTTGGGGAAGGCTGTGATAAGAACATATGGTCAGATAATAGTCGGGATAGTGGCGTCGTTGAGGCATAGCGTACTGTGTACATCGGTTCGAGGAGTAAGCGATGGATAGTGGGAGAGCACCTGGGCTACATCGTTGTATGTGCGGTTGACATCGTGATATTCCTGGAGACGGAGGTGTCAGTCAATGGTGTTGGATGCTAGAGGAGGAGACATACACTGGTCAACACGCTGTAGAGCCAGTTGAGGACATGCTGTTGGACAGTCATCCTGTCCGACTCGTCCAAAATGACCAAGCTTCCGGATTATGTTGGTGCCGCTATCGTTGCATTTCGAAGTGTGAGGGTGGACGTGGGAGAAATTGGATCCGAGGATGTTTCGCTCCCGTCTTGGTGGTGATTGTTGTTCTTGTTGGTGTTGGAGGTGTAGTGTAGTGGTTCGTCAGGCGTTCAGTCCAGCATTCAAGTCTGGGCGGCATCTTTCTTGGCGGCATGACGAGCTGCGTCTGTGATCATCACCTATCAAGGAGCTTGGACCACTTTGAAGAGCTCCCCGCCAAGACTTGTTGGTGGACCGGCGGCGGGGTCACTGCGTTTCATCCGCATGTGGAGACAAGATTTTCAGTGCCTGCCTGCCTGCCCCCCGATCCCGCCCGTTGGATTGATGACGGGAATTGGGAACCTTGAAGACTCGCTCGTCCACTTTTATTTTGCCCCGCCATCATCATCATCATCATCATGGTCGAGATCAATGTGCCATGGGAAACGGCAATCCATCTACTGGTGTTTTCTAGCCATTGGTGTCTTTTTGACTTGTTCGACTCAGGTCGAATCGTTCTCCGACGGTTCATGACCACGATTACTCAGCCATTCTACTGTTGACGATATGCGGCAAAGCCTCAAAAGGTGCCGTACGACGGCGTATTATATCTCGTGCCGTCCATTCCCATTTATCAATTGGTCGCCTTACCAATGATGGTTCTGACGGCACACCCATAATTATTTTGTCATGCGTGGTTCGTGTGTCTTCGAGCATCAACAACTTCATCTGCATCGTCATCCATAGCCTCAGGCACCCGGGCTCACGGCAACATGTTTCAACGCCTTGACGATTGAAACAGGAAACACGAAACAAACGTCTGTTCGCTTCAACAACTCGACAATGGCTGTTCACGGACGGACATTGACCCAAGACGGAACTCGGCGTAGGATCATTATCAATCATCCGTGCGTAGCCGAATATCGACCATCTTATGCCCGTCTCTCACTCATCACTTTTCCACCTTCCGCAAGTCGGCGCTTCCATGATGCCACTCTCAGTGCCATTGGAGTGCTTGAGTGCGCGAGATATTTCCCAATGGAATATTCCCTGTCAATGTCCTCCGTTCTTGCCCGTCCTTTCCCTCATGCCATCGGCCAAACCCACGGCTCCACCCTTTGATCAAAGCCCCCGATGACCCCGATCGGGGTTTTCAAGCGATGGTCGGCCGGGAAGAGTCCAGAAGCTCAAACTCAATTTCTTAGTCACTGCCTTGGCGCTAGAAGAGGGGGCGAATTTTTCAACTTTCTCTTTTTGTCTTTGACCTTTTGGCGACTCTGGCTAAGTACCTTTTGCACACGTTACACACCAAAAGGGTACCTGTCTGACTGCATTCCTCGACCAACATGTTCGCTCAGGGCGTCACACTTGTTCTCTTTCCTACTTCTCACCCAACCCAACTCAAACAAAAAGAACAAACCTTCCACACTTTTCCTATCCGACCTTTTGTCTTTCTTTCTTCTCAACACCATCTTCACCACCATCGAAGTACATGCTACACGCTACACAGAATATCGCACGGCTGAGGAGTATTACAGAGAACATTCTGTATACTCCTTGCGTCAGGTCTTTTTAGTTCTGTCACAAGAACCATCATCACCACCAGTTTTATAACCTCATCGGTAATTACCGTCGCCTAAGCAACAGACTCATTTGTTAATATCACCATCCAAACAAAACAAAAACAAAGTCATGCTTCCTCCCATCCCCGTCCTGGCCGAGTATGGAATCTCTCCAACCCATGGCTTCCTCCCCGAGGTCCTGCCGTTGACGAGACTCCCGGATCCCTACTACAACAAGTGGGAGGCCATTGCCGCCAACTTGCAGGCTCTCATCCTCAGCAAGCGACTTCGCGGAGTCGTTGATCGTCTCCCCGTGCTCGACACCATCGGTCTGGAACACGACGCAGAATGGCGCAGAGCCTACTCGCTGCTGTCCTTCATGGCCCACGGCTACATCTGGAGCGGTGATAGCCCCAGTGACCGTCTGCCACCTTCCATCTCAGTCCCGCTGCTCAAGATCTCGGAACATCTTGAGGTGCCGCCCGTCGCCACCTATGCAGCCGTCTGTCTTTGGAACTTCAAGCCTCTCTTCATGGACGAGGATATCGACAACCTCGAGAACCTCGCCACTCTCAGCACCTTCACCGGCGCCATCGACGAGTCATGGTTTTACCTGGTCTCCGTCGCCATGGAGGCCCGTGGTGCGCCCATCATTCCCCTCATGCTGACTGCCATTGCCGCAGCTCGCGAGGGTGATGCCGCCACCGTCACTCGCTGTCTTCACACGTTTGCCGAACGTCTTGACGATCTCACTACTCTCTTGGTGCGCATGCACGAGAGTTGCGACCCCAAGATTTTCTACGACCGCATCCGTCCTTTCCTTGCCGGATCCAAGAATATGGCCGAAGCTGGATTACCGCACGGCGTCATCTACGAGGACGGGTCCGGAAAGGAAGAATACCGTCAGTACTCCGGAGGCAGCAATGCTCAGAGCAGTTTGATTCAATTCTTCGATCTCGTCCTCGGTATTGAACACCGTCCCACCGGCGAGAAGCGCGGTCGGTCCCAGGAGCAAGGCGAAGGCCATGCCCCGGCGCCCAAGCACAATTTCCTTTTGGAAATGCGCAAGTACATGCCCGGTCCTCACGCCCGCTTCCTCGAACACGTGCAGTCCGTGGCCAACATCCGGGAATTTGTTGAGGAGAACCGCGACGACCGCCCGCTGTGCATCGCCTACGATGCCTCTCTGGCCATGCTGCGTGCCCTTCGCGACAAGCACATTGCTATCGTGACGCGCTACATTGTCCTACCCAGCAGGGAAGTGCGCACCCGCAGCCGCAGCCGCAGCCCCGAGGCTATCCGCCGCAAGGTCAACCTGGCGACCGCATCGCGCCAGCAAGGGCCTCCCGGAATTGCGCTTGATACTAGGAATGTCGATGGAAAGAAGGATAATCTCAAGGGTACCGGTGGCACGGCGCTTATTTCTTTCCTTAAGCAGGCCCGCGACGAGACAGGCGAGCCGGCTGTCGAGGCCTGGGCTCACAGGTTTATGAGCCGTGTTATTCGCACCGAGGGCCAGGGCGACTTTTTTGCTGGAAAGCCGGAGGAGGGCGCTGGTTTGCAGGTCGCGTCGCAGGCTGAGGAGGCCGTGGTGCCCGGTTTGGCTGGGTCGTGGACTATGGATGATGATGTTGGTGGTATTTGCTACTATTGATTTGTTGTCGTTTCCCGGTTGGATAGCGGTGACCTGGTGCCGGGTCATCCCGGATGGAGGAAAGAAGGTTGTTAGGATATCTACCTCGAGCGCATCCAATTATTATACCCTCAATGATATCATATTAAAACAGCGCCCCTTTTTCTCGTGTCACTATTGAAGTAGCATTGATATTTGTGTAACGCTTCACATGTTGATGATCGCACAGATCGCACAAGATCGCCGAAGCGTACTACTTACAATCCCATTCACGCTCTAGCAACTTACCTTTGGCTCAATTCGGGTAACACCGCCCATCAATGACCTCGCCCCGGATCCATCTCGCCCCGACTTCCTTTCTTCCCGAGATGCGCATTGAGCCGCTTGGTCCGCTTGGGTCGCTTCCCACTTGGCGCTCCTGTTACAACAGCTTTGGTGAACCGCCGAAGCGTCCCAACCGGAAGAATTCCAGACAGGATAAATTGCCGTTGCAATAAAACCACTAAGTGCCGGATATAAGTTGCATCCGTCTGACGGTTTGAAGTTTCCCGATCGGTACAGCTAGATCTCCTACCCCGAGCAAGTGTAAAAAGTCGAGGGCCAATGGTTGCGATCAGACGCTGTTTTAACAAAATGTCAAGGTGGATAGACGATGTGATTCGGATAGATGGAAGCCATGGAAGCCATGGATATCGTGGACATATGAGGAAGCATTGGACTTGGGTATGTGATTTGGTCGGTTGGATAATATCATCAGTTATAATGGTCAATATCAGGTTTAATCACACTGCACGACGGATGGAGGTCAGGATAGATGTTGGAAGGACTTGGGTTGGATCAAAAGAATAGAATACTGAGTCTGGGTCTTGGTGGTGATGCGGTGGACATAAAAGCTGCATCTCCTCCGTCCGTCGTGAGCTGGAAAGGGGACGACGACAGGCACACCCATTGAGCATCACCATCACCACCGCAATCACCATCGACATACTGACCACTGATCACCACCATGTTCTTCTCTAACCTCCTCCTCTCCGCCCTCGCCTTGGCGTCGGCGGCACTCGCTAGCCCCATCGAGTTGGCTGAGCGGCAGACGCCTCAGAAGTTGAGGATTAGTACGTTTTGTTGTTTGAAGTTCACGTCACGTATCCATAATCGCCTCTTCCAACTTCGTGCTCCCCTTCCAACTTCCCCTTCCAGCCCTACTACTACCCCTTCCAGCCATACTCCCCCATCCAACTACCATCCCCTCCTCCCCCTCCTCCAACGATCCCTACTAACCCTCCTTCCACATAGTGCCCCTAGGCGACTCAATAACCGAAATCACCTGCTGGCGCGCTACAGTCTGGGACCAGCTTGCCTCTGCCAACTTGGCTTCATCCGTGCAATACGTCGGCTCGCAAAACTCCAACCCGCAGAACTGCAAGCCCGCCACTGCCAACTGGGACCAACACCACGAGGGTCATTCGGGTTGGCTAGCCGTCGACATTGCCAATAATTATTTGGAAGGGTGGCTGAAGAAGACACCCGCTGATATCGTCATGTTCATGTTGGGGACTAATGACGTTACGAGGGGGAAGAGCACGCAGGATGTTATTAATGCTTATACCAAGATGGTGGGGATTATGCGCGCGTCTAATCCGAAGGTGAAAATCATCGTGAGTAGCCCCCCCTCCAACATCCAACGTTGAAAAAACGGAAAGGAGAAATGAAATGAACGAAGTGATGAGGGAGGGTAAAGCGGCTGACAAGATGTTGACACACACAAAAAAAAAAAGGTCGACCTAATAATCCCCCTCTCCTTCTCCAACAACGCCATCCAAGCCATCAACGCGCAGATCCCCTCGTGGGCCGCCAAGATGAACACCACCGAGAGCCCGATCGTTATTGCGGATTGTTATACCGGCTTCAAGACTTCGGATCTCAGAGATGGAGTGCATCCTAATGCGAATGGGGACAAGATTATTGCTGAGAGGGTGGGGCCGCTTTTGTTGGATTTTGTGAGGCAGGGGTTGGCTGGTAAATAGGCCCGGGGGAAATACCTTATGGAGGACGTGATGGAGGTGTTTAGGAAAGGAGTGGCTGAGGGAAGAAACCTGGAAGGAATGGGAAGAGGGTGCTACAAAGGCAGGTGCGACTGGACTGGACTGGACTGGGCTTGATGAAGAATGGCAGATACATGGTGGAAGAGGTCAGGTAGGATCAATAAAGGGAAATTCTAATTTCTCGACGGAGGATGGGCTTAAACCCACGAGTGTGCCAATTCTAGCGATCGACTTATCCTCTGCTTATACCGTCATATCGGCATATAAGACTGTTCCATTTGTTGTTGGTTTTCTTCAAGCGAAAATTGGTGAGAGAGAAAAGGAAGAGCATGTGTTTTCGAAGATGTTGAATTATGCCCGTCTCAGAACCCCTCACCAACAATTTTCCAGTAGCTGAAAGGCTAAGTGGGAGTAAAGAAACACGGGCAGTAAGACAGCTCTATAATCTTGATGTTGTGTGGTGATTTCAGAGGAAGGGAAGTTGATGGGATGACATCGCAATGCAATGGGAACATGGTTGTAATGGTATGTTTTCGTTAGGTACCAAGCTCAGGTATCCAGGCGGTATTATTCGGTCCGTGGGCAGATTCGTCTCCGTCAGGTCGGTGTCTCTTCATGTTGTCCAATGCAATGCACCATCTTTAATAAAGCTGGTTGGGGACCTCCTTAAAAAGGCCTAGGAATAAGATAATCGATATCACTCATTGTTGCCAGAGGCACAAAGAGCCAGAAGCGTGCTAACATGGTGCTTGATGAAAGGAGTTTCAAAATGTAAGAAACCCATTGTCCGGTGTGGAGCTGTCACGTATTACAAGTTAAAGTTACAAGTTACGAATTACGAAATAAACAATGCAGCAGACCAAAGGAGCTCAAAATTCACAACTGGGATGGCTTTTCAAGACCGCCACATTACAGCCAAAAGAGAATGGAATTATCATATATGATTCGTATGATTTTGAAGAACAAAGGAGTCAAGACCGGGAGCTGTTTGACTGTTCCATCTGGCAATACTTCCCATGACATGGGTGTGTGCGGGTTAGGGTCTTACATGTGTTCCTGAATTCCGTTTCACGTCTGGGTATCTGATCGCTTATCTCGCTCTTATCGCTCACTTCTGTACCTGACGCGCGGGGAATCGACAGCGCAACCGGAGCGCTGCGACTATTTGTCCAGTGGTTGCTTTCCTACCCTGTGGGCGTGTGTCTGCTTCGCTTCGCATCGCAGGAAAGAAGCATCTGATCCCCTCCCCTCCCTCCTTTCCACATCCAATTCCATGCCGCCATCCCACGCCGGCGCATGTTGTTCCCCTCTCGTTCCCCCAATCTGCATCGCGCTCGGTGGCAGTCTCCCCTTCTCCTCCTCTCTTTTCCCCTCTTCTGCTCGCTTTCTCCTCTGCATCGCCCGTCTTCCCTGTCCTTGCCGACTTCTTTCAGCGACGCCCACACGAGGATTGGACCACCGGGATTGCGCTGCTTGTCGACGAGAATACGCCGCAAAAGAAATAAGACGAAAGTGAGACAGCAGCGCAGAAAGAGACCAACAAAGACCACGAGTTATTGGTACAGCCTCCCGCCGGTTTCTTGGACGACTTCTTTCGCAGTCTCAGGCTCAGGACCTTGGTCGACGCCCATCGACAACTCTTAAAAGCCCAACGCCCGACGCTTCAATCTCGACGTTGCAAGCCCAAGACACGCCTTATAACAACAGTAGAAGAACAAGAGAAGGAAGAACAACGTCTGGCGAAGCAAGAAGAAGCCCGTTACAATAAGCTTGTCAATCTCGTTGGCAACAAGCTCCTAAGTCTCAACATAATCGTCAACATGCCGGCCCCAAAGAGAAAGGCCGAACCCGAGACCAAATACTACGCCGTGCGTGCTGGTGTCAAGCCCGGTGTCTACACCAACTGGACCCTGTGCCAACAGCAGATCACGGGCTTCAAGGGTGCCTCATTCAAGTCATTCACCAACTACGAGGACGCTTCCGCATTCGCCGCTGGCCGGCCCGTCGCCTCTGCTACCTCGACTTCAAAACCCTCCAAGTTCTACGGCGTCGCAGTCGGTCGCACCCCCGGCGTCTACACGGATTGGTCCATTGCCCAGCAGGAAGTCGTGGGCTGGAAGAACCCCAAGTACAAAAAGTTCGAGACCCACGCCGAGGCCGAGGATTTCGTGCGCCAATGGAGTGGCCAGCCCTCTTCCCGAGCCGTCAAGGTACCGCAGGTGGACGAGACTGACGAGGTGCAAGTCATTGCCATCGGACCGATAACGAAGAGCTCTAGGAAAGCTAGGAAAACCGGGGCTACGCAGACCGCTCATGAGGCTCAGGAAGCCCTTGATGCTACCAAGCCCGTCATCATCTACACGGATGGCAGCGCCAGAGGCAATGGCAAGGTCGGCGCCATGGCGGGAGTTGGCGTCTACTTCTGCGGTGGTTTCAGAGAGTAAGTGCAGTCTGGTGCCCAAACCCCACCTGGTCCTTTTACTAACCCATTTTTCCCACAGAAACATCTCCGAAAGACTCCAAGGTCCCGTCCAAACGAACCAACGCGCCGAGTTGACCGCCGTCCTGCGAGCCCTCGAAACCATTCCCGACACCCAGAGTTGCGAGCTCCGAACCGACAGTCAATATACCATTAACTGTGTGACTACTTGGTACAAAAGCTGGATGAAGAACGGATGGAGGAATTCCAAGGGAGAGGATGTGTCCAACCAGGATCTGATTGCGGCCATCCGCAAGAAGATCGAAACTCGCGAGGCGAAGGGTACGGAGACCAAGTTCGTCTGGGTTAAGGGGCACGGGACGGACGAAGGCAATATCGCTGCGGATGTGCTGGCGGTTGAGGGATCGCGCAAGATGTTCTGATGATACCCATTTCTTATTTCGTTTCGCTGTTTGCAGTCGGTTTGTTATCTTGTCTTCCTGGCGCCGTGGGTAATAGGGTTCGTTAGCAGGGTCATATATTGAAGCGACGTTCTCTCAGAAGGGCGGTTGATGGTATATGTGCAGTTTTGGGTATTTGTCTGATCTTGGATGTGTTTTCATGGTGCCATGATGCTTCCCGGGAGTGTTTAAGGACTTCTAGTTGATGCTTTTCCCAGAACACAGCCAGTCTCTTCTCACCAAGTCGGGACGTGTTGGCGCAAGGATGAAATACGCGACCGAAGAAGACAAGGTCATCGCGTCTAGTTTAAGACGACATTCGATTTTCTGATCAAGGCCAAATATCCTCTTCCCATCCCCTCTCCGAATGCTGAAAGCTAACAGGTGATCATGTAGGTCCGTGAACAGCCGGACGTTGTGCCATAGTGACCATTGAGACTCAATCCCACATGGAGTCCATCTCCGGGCGCTCGGTGTCCTTCTCCTCCTCAGCAACACCGCAATGGCCGTCACCGATACGTCATATACTAACAACCCTTTGCGCATACCTAGTCCGTCAAAGGGAGGGAGAGACAGGTATAAGGAAATATCTGGGTGATCTACACCCTCATACCTCGATAGTTTCTTCGATCTCATTTCCCTTTACGACTGAGAAACAATTCACGTCGTAACCAAACAACAACTCAATAACAGTAACACACACCATCACGATGCCGACCTCTACCCTCACCCGCGTTGCCCACCGCGCCGTTCTTCGGCCCGGCGCCCGCGCCGCCACTAGCAGCCGTCACTTCTTCCTCCCCCTCCACCCTGATCCCCCATCCAGCGCAGCCCTCCTCACTACTATAAGCAGCAGCGTTTCGCCACCGTCGACACTTCCGGTCGTCGTGGTTCCGGTGGTGGTATCGGAAAAGCCGCCGAGACCATCGCTGCCGATATCGACTCGGACTTGGACTATCCGACTGAGATGGATGAGCGGTACAGCACCTCTTCTTGGTCTGAGGCTTCCCGCTCTTCGGCTGCGTCTTCTCCGAGAATGAGCAGCCATGAGAGGGCCGCCAGTCCGAGTTCGTCGGGATTCACATCCAGAGCGGAGAAAACGACGAGCGGGATTGGAAGCGAGCCGAACAGGCCCAGCTATGATTCTAATGCTGCTAGCGATGCGACTGTTAGGGGGCCGGCGGCTGATAATACGCTTTTGTAAGTCTTCCTTCCTTGTGCAGCCTATCCCGATATCACCGTCGACGACAGCCATCACGACTTCCTTGCACTTTCATCCCCCATTATCCCCGTTTGTTCACCACCTTCGTCTATCCACCTCATCCAGCACATCTATCTATTCATTTAGCCTCTCAAATCTCCCATAACATCCCCCATCTCATTGTTTCTTCCACATCCTCCACACTACATCCACATCCACCACCGCCATCCCACCTTTCTCTCCACTCTCAACTCAATACATCCAGTCCAATCAAAGATAACCAGCAGATCACTAACTAACCACCACCACCCACTCCCCCTTTTTCCTCGGGTCCCGGGGAATATTGGGTTCTGGGATGAACAAAAAAAAATAGCTACCTAGCAATGGGCCTCATCGGCCTGTCCGGCGCTTACATCGTACTTAAGCCCAACCCGTCGGCCAGCTTGGAGCCGGGCGTTGACGCGAGAAGCAGCTCCTCCCAAAAGCACAGTACGCCCGCCCACCGGCCCTTGAACAGCAAGACGGAGAAGATGATTGGCAGGGGTGGTTGATTGATCACTTTGAGCCTTGAGCTCGAGACCTGTCAAGGTCGAGAGCGAGAGGGGAGGAGAAAGACGGCGAGAGCGACATACATGGATGGATGATGAACTGACGGATGGATGGGGTGAATTGATTGATGAATGCGTTGAGGAATGGATGGATTAAAACTGGATGATATGATATTTGGATATGGACTGTGATTGTTGACTGGGGATATGATATTGCGGCGTTATTTTGGACATTCTGGGAGGGAAAACGAAACGAAGAAAACCGGTTGGGGGTTGTGGATGGAAATTGTACGATGATGTTATGCTATGGGACATGACTGCTGTACGATGCGATCGGTGTAAGAATAGCGCAAGAAAGGGGTGACTTGGCATAATGAAAGAGTGTACATATTCTGTCGATTAATCTATTGTTCTGGGTCATACGGTGAATGTGTACTGTAGGTTAGTGGTAGCAATTGATGTAGCAGTTTTGGTATTGACTGTTGACGTTTCATTGTTTTGTGAATGGTGATTCGTGAACACTCAATTGGAACACTACCGCAAACATGTTCCCCATATATGAAAAGAATTCAAGTTAAGAAAAAGGATGATGAAATAACAAGATCGGAATACAAAACGAAAAAAGGCAAAAAGAAGCTCCGGTACGGGGAATCGAACCCCGAGCTTCGCGGTGAAAACGCGATATGTTAACCGTTACACTATACCGGACTTGGTTGCAAAGATGGGATAGAAGTTTAGCTTATGTACCCCACTTTGTCCGCTAGTCTGATGTCAAAGAATGTGGCTACGACCGACTGGCTTGCCGAACATACCACTTGAGGACCACCGATTATTGCAAGGCCTGGAGCAAAAGATTGGATTGAATACTAGATCCTGCAAATCGCGAGCTTCTAGGGGCGTGCACATCAACTTGAGCGCGATGCACTTCGATAGGGGGAAGCAATCGACCAGTGTCTCCGGCCCTTGTACATCCCATGATCCTTTCCAAACCCCCGTCAAGGTGATCACATCTGTGGCATTGGATGGTATTCTCCATCTGCGCAGGTACTTCATAAGGTATGGTAGTTGCGACCGAGCCTCACCCCTCCTACATTCTTACCCCCCTTCCCGTCCCCGGGCCTGGTGGATTCCTCGGTTTCTCCCTCTTCAATACAAACATCACGGACCCTTTGAACCAGTCTCCTCGATCACAATACCCACGAACACCATGATCACCGCCGCGTACGCCAAAGTTGCAGCGAAGACTCCGTCTACTGTTTCCAAGTAGATTGAAACAGAGACACCAAAAGCGGTGACACACGCCGTTGCCACACTCAAATGAACGAAGAGACTCCTTTGTAGGGCCAAAATCCACATGGGAGCAATAAGAAAGGCACCACCAATTACTGCAGCGCCGACTCTTTCCCAGAAGACCTTCTTGGTTGATCTAGTTCGTGTGTTGATAAGGCCAGATGCAGACTTGTGTGAACCTTTGCCATCGCCTGTTTCCCATGGCCCAGCGGGGATGGAGACTTTGAGCAGGCGATTGAGGAATTCCCTTTGACCCCGTTCGTCTTCTGTCTCGCCGTCTAGAAGTGCTGATGAGGGCTGGATCTTTGACTCTGCGCATGTCCGAGACAGGTGAGGGGGAAGAAGATCATCCAGGTCTGCACTTTCGTTGAGCAGTGCTTCATCGAAGAAGATGTGGTCATTGTGTCTCCGGCTGGTGGCGATGAACGGGTCTTTGGACGCCAAGGAAAACTTGACCATGTACTCGTGATTCTGTACAGCCCGAACTGCAATTCAATAAATCAGTTGATGAAGAGGCCTGGATGCAAGACTCATTGATGAAGATAACTTACTGTATTTTTCAAGAGTAGCGCCAAAGTTGTCCAATCCTTCCAAGGCATCTTCGGGTCTTTTTGAAGAGCTTCTCTTCTGGGCTCTGACAGACATACTAATAAGTCTGGCGTGCAGGGACCTAATATACAGCCTCTGGATATCGCCAAAATTAATAAAAAAGCCAAAGTCAGTTTCTGAGAGAGGTTGTCGGCGATGGCGCGCTCGAAAGCGAGATAGCAAGGTGTCTATCTGACCCATCAATCCAGGTCTTCGTGTTGATATAATTCTGATGAACCCTTTGTAGTATGGATCGCTCAAAATCATTGACGTGTAGACATGATCGTTTCCTTCAATTGGCTTTGGCTCGAAGATATCGTTCGACTGGTCTTTGGGTTGCCCCTTGTTGAGATGTCCATTGATGGCGGTCATACCTGCAACTGCACCTGCTTTGTTAACAGATGAAGGCAACACCAAGGGACACAGTTTGCTTTCAACTCGAATGTGCGATGTTATTTCTACTTCTAGAGGTAGGTGCTACGTTGGAAACCGACCAGAGAGCAATGTCGATAAAGTCTGTGCGTGGCGATTTTCGCCCGATTTTCTCTTTCCTACTTTGCAGTCAGGCTCTCGGTAACACAATGCATCTGCCCCCAATTCTCGTTCAAATGGGCTTTATTCCTGGCACTAAGCTGGCCAGTTATATTTGTATGCAGACCGGACCTTCATGGCGGCGTCTGAACGAGGCATGGAAACCTCAGCAAGCCATATAACTGGCCAGAACAGGGGAGAATGATACTTAGCAGTACCTCTCTTCTCTCCCAGAACGCGGGTTTATGATGAGAGTACGTAAGTGTAAACCTTGGCTACAGGACGAAAGGTCTGTGACTGCCTAGTGTACATGTACAAAAACCACTCGACCCCCCTTGGATTCCCCTTAAAAGCTGCTCACTGTCTACCTTACCTACTCAACTGCTACTTCAGGTGTTCCATGATTCCTGATTCTATCCCAGCTTCATCATTCATTCACTCAAATTGCAATCTGCTCGTCAATACCAGCGTTTGGGGTTTCATGCTGGTAGGTACCGTACCTTACATTCCATCGCAGAACTCACTCTCAAATGTCAACAATAGCTGATAACGTAAAGCAGTCCATGAATAATTAAGTGCACAATGCCTCGTGTCACTTTCCGCTCTACTACGCCCTCTAGAGGTAGCATTAATACCAACGGCGACGTACGACTGATTCTCTCAATGGAAAAGTCAATCGGAAAGGGTGTACCTACACAGCGTAGGAACCGCGTGTGGACTCTCTGGAACTGGATAATTAGGAGGAAGCCTCTCCAACAGCAAGAGCGGCCGAGTACTCCAGACACGGGGGATCTAGTCATCAAATATCCCGTTGAAGGAACGTACTTGCCGCATCTGAGGTTCATGAAGCGGAATATACCATGGAACAAAAGAAAACACACCGACCTTGTTGAGTACATGGACAGCCAGCGACTTCGCACTGTCAAGATCAAAGGGATTCCGGTACAAAGTGTTCTCACATTATCGGATGGGTGTAAAGTCACAACCACAAACCCAAAAGATGCAGAACTGCTGAAGAAAATCATCGGCTGCGGAGTTGTTCAGGGTTCCGCCTTAGAGCGTATTCCGCTGATAATGCCAAAGGATTCATGGGTGAACTTTTGCGAGTACAAAATAGCAAAAAAAACCAGGGGCGCATAGTAGGACCTATTAGATGTAGGTAGGCACCTATTCACGGAAAACATGGCGTACATTGAAAGGTGCTATGGTTAATGTTCGCTGATTAGGTAGGAACCTGTCTCTGACCCAGAGGTATAGAGTAGAGAAAATAAAAAGAGGCCATGCCGGCATGCCCCGCAGAGTCTGCCACATGTTGCCAGGACCACGCAGTATCTGGAGTGTTGCTGGTAGGTACGGTACCAGGGCTAGTGAACTGTTCAAAAGACAACCTACCTACAGGTACACATTGGAAGCTTGAGATGATACCTACCTTATGAAGGCTGATGTTTACATGTATCTACCTAGGTAGGTACCATAACGATTGTTCTTTTCGCAACGCCACGGCTTCAAACGCGTTTTTTAAAAGTGTCCCTGTGAAAATCCGAGACAAGGACTGGAAACCCCATCTGGGCTAAGGTATCCCTGCTGACATTCACGCCTCTGCTTTTCCACCGGTTTCCTCGATAATAATACCGACAAATACCATAATAACCGCCGCGTACGCCAAAGTCGCTGCAAAAACACTATCCACCGTCTCTAAATAAAGCGACATGGAGGTACCGAAAGCTATGATACACCCCGTCGCGACACCCAGATGGACGTACAAGTTCCTCTGCAGGCCCAGAATCCACATGGGCGCAATAAGGAAGGCACCACCGATAGAAGCCGCGCTGATTCTCGTCCAGTATGCGCGCTTCCAGGCTTTGGTCCGCGTGCTAATCAGGGCGCGGGCTGGCTTGTCGGTATTGTCGCGTTCCCACGGACCGGCTGGGGCAGCGTGTCTCATGAGGAGGCTGACTAGTTGCGCGGGTGTTTCGTGCTGCGAGCGTGATTGGTGGTTCTTTGGGGATTGTTGTTGTGGAGGAGGTAAAAAGTCTTTCGGCATTCTGTAGCCGTCGTGGTCCATGGCCGACTCGAGGAAGATCTTGTCGTAAAGCCTTTGGCTGGTGGCGATGAAGGGGTCATCGGCCGCGTTGGCGTATTTGCCCATGTACTCGTGGTCCTTGACTGCTTCGACTGTTGTCCCATGATCAAAGGTGTAAGTCGCTGATCACGCGGAATGGAAACATGATGGCTTAGGGTTAAGGTATCAAAAGTGCCACATCCGTGCGGCAGGCTTATGTTGGGATGAGGTCTCAAGCCGGATGGAAGACTTACTGTATTCCTTCATTACTTGACCGATCTGCTCTGCTTTTCCTCCTGGTCTCCACTCCGAATCGTGTAAATGTGCCGAGACAGCCAGATTGACGAGCTTGCTGTGCAGGTACTGGATGTGTATCCTTTGCAAGTCGCCAAAGTGAATCCGGTAACCGATGTTTGCACTCGTCAGGTTCCCTGCTGTTCTACCCGACAACAATCCAGACATCTTGTCAATATACCCCAGTACTCCAGGCCGTTGACGTGATATAAGCCTCACGAGATTGTTTTGATATAGCTCCTTCCGCATATCTTGCCATATATGATGATACTCTTCGTCACGCTCTTCCTCCTCAAGGGCATTGCTGTGGGATGAATGATGGTCCCCATTTTGTTGTGTTGCTTGCGTCTCATTGCCAGATGTGAAAGGTGAGTGGTGTTGAGGGGGTGGACTGAAACTTGAAGTCATAGGTCCGGTCCGTACAGGTATGGGAACATCCTCTTCCAGTTCCGATAAACTCCCAAAGGAACTGCTTTTCCGCGTCGTTTTCTGGCTTTTGGGTGCTGTATCGACAGACCCAATGGCCTCCATGTGCTGGGAACTGGCCGGAGGCATCTTGGTACTAGCGCCGGGAGTACTTGGTCGGTTGCGGACCTCGACAGCCACCATCTCAATGCTCCCAAGTAAAGAACTTCTGCTTAGTCCTTCAGCATCAACCGACATATCCGTTTTATATGGCTGTTGCTGAGGAACAGAACGGAAATCATGATCGCCGAGCATTGAGCAAGAAACTGGATTTGCTTGGTGCTCCCTCGAATGAAGCACTGCAGGGTGTCGTATTCCTGAAAACGATCTGGAACGGCGGGGCTGGGTGTAGCCTATCAAGCTAAAGATTAATGGAATGCTGTCAAGTGCGATTGCCTCGTCAAACAAAAGGGACATAAAGAGGCAAGAGTAAATCTCCCCAGGGCTGCAAGTTGCGGTTTTGTTTTGATATAATTTCATTAGGACTTTTCGCAATCCATTTGAGAGGTTGATGGTCCACTTCCCGTATGGACCTGAAGCGCTTCGCGCGTTCTGGCCTTGCCTTATGTCTAGGTAGATGTCTGATTGGGTAAGGCAATCCGAGAAGCGTGGATGGCGCAATGTTCTGCATATGTGATTTGGGCTGTGCCTCAGCTGCGCTGCACGTTAACGTATTTCCTATAGGTAAATCTTATGCACTGAGGACCAATGCAGCCAATCAAGTTTTCAAGTCATGGTGATATCTTCCTCTTTTGGCTCCTTGCACCATAGTGCATATTGTGGTCAGCCTGCGCCATGTGGCTGAGGTTCTCCCCGACGGTTGGGCATTTGATACCTAAACATGTCAGGCTGTGGGAAACACCTCTAGATAAGGCTATAGCATATCATTTCCCTTCCTTGTTGTTTAAATACCCTAGTCGCTGTCACAAGCGAGCGCTGTTTCTAACCTCTCGAAGCATCACTATCACTACCAGTTTGACGGCGCGGTGTCTGCATTGAACTTTTTCTTCTAGGCAATCCACAAGGAAGAGCATTTCTCTATCTTGAAGAAAGAACGGTCGGAAACTATATCCTATACCTTGAACCCACCTGCCCCAATTGCTGCTCAGAGATTCTGATTCTCAAGGTAACTCCATTGATCTCACCCCAATTTAGATAGAAGTAAACCGACTGCTAACTGGTCATTCACAGACCTGCAGGTACTGCCTACCTTATCCGACGGTCCGACCCCAACTATACACTCCCTCAATAGAGTTACCGGGATTCGCCTTACGATGACGACCTTGAATTGGAAGTTCTTCCCTGTGGCTCCGTTGGGGAAATCTACAGCGGGAAGATACGATCTCGGTATCACCTACGAAATGCCACCCGATCACCCGGAGAGCAAGGAAGGGCGACGCATTGCTGCGCTCCGCCGCCATCACGTACATCATGTATACGACAAATTGGAAAAAACGCGAGGATGGAAGATTGAGGAGTGGGACGATGGCAGCATCGTGATCAGGGGTGTCAATTTCGTCAATATCAAGGGTTCGGTGCGTGCCCACTCCTCAGGCGAGGCCCGAATCGTTGGGTACAAACTTTATTTCAAGACTTCCCCAGAAGCGTATGAACTGAGGAATTTGGTCGGATTCGGCAAGTGGCACCCGTCGGAAACGGAATACTCTTGCATCAAGATGCCAGTTAGTATAGCGGATGATACTGAGGAATGGAATGAATATGCGAGGATAAAGAGGGTAAGAGTGAAGTCGAGAGAGGATGATTAAGATAAAGATTCAAGACAATACATATAACTCCTCAGGCTTGAAGATACCTAGGTGAGCTAGGTAGATAAACATCGGAGTCCATGCCGCCGAAACATTTGATGGGACTGGGGTGTCACGACCCTGCAAATCGCTGCTGCTCCGCTTGCATGCCGATTGGTCAGACGTTTGCACGCTTAGTGTTGTTTGAGTACAGCGCTGCTTGGCGGGGATTGGAGCGGATCATTGGGCACTGAGACCAACGCCTAACCGGGCTCCGAGAAGATGGCATTGTGCTCTTCATTTCACGACACCGTTTTTGCTGTATCATGGCAATCAAAAGAACATCGACAATTGGGCTGTAATTGAGACATTTCTTCTCTTGTTACTGAATAATATCAGCCCTCAATCTGAATAGGGTCAAAATTTCTCGTTGAGTGTCCACGGTGAGTACATGTTCGGTCACCGGGCAGTCCACCGTCCACACCGCCCGTGCATGTTGCGTTTGCCAGCTTGGTTGTGCTGTGCTGTGTGTGTTTGTCAAGCATCCGAACCAGACAACACAATCGCATGTGCTTTGCTACGCTACAACATTCGCTAACTCGATTCACCCAAGCCTCAGACTTCTTCACTCGGCATCTTCATTTCTTCCACAGCGTCGCATCCATTCAAATCCACAGCCACGTCCAGCGCCCAGTGCCCAGCTCCTCTACTGCACCCACTACTCGTTCACGCCATCGCCGGCCACGCGGCCACCAAGACTAGTAGTCACCACCAAGATGCCGACCCTAATCCTAGACCTCTTCAAAATCACCCTTCCCCATTCCCCCTCCGGCCGGCGTCACCTCGGGATAAACTACCTCGTCCCCTCCTCAGCAGGCGACCGCGAGCGTATCAACCTCGCCTCTCTCCGTCGGCAGCACATCTCATCCATGCAATCCCGCTTACCTCTTCCCTCATCTTCCTCAACAAGAGATGTCCATCAGCAGCAGCAGCAGCAGCTGGGTCTCGAAAACTGGGACGACGGCACCGTCGAGCTGCGCGGTTTCCCCATCGACGACATCCTTGTCGTGCGCATGGTCAACAAGATGACGGGCGAGACGGACACCAGTTATGAGTTGCATTTTGAGTATGTGTTTGACGCGGAACGGGTGGCGGATGTACTGGGACTGGCGGCGGGACCGCCGGTTGAGAAGGATGAGGGGCCGGGCGGGTGGAGAGGGTGGGTGGTTACGGTGCCAAAAAGGGTGCATCATCGGAGTCAGATGTGGGAGAGGTGTATGGAGCGGGAGACGAGTAGGTTGGGGGAACGGGAGAGAGACCGAGGGAGGGATATGAGGGAAGGGATAGGTCTATGGGGGGGAGTATGGGGAGGGAAAGAGATAGGAGTATGGGGAGAGATATGGTGAGAGAAAGAGACAGGAGTATGAGGAGAGATATGGGAAGGGAAAGAGACAGGAGTAGGGGGAGAGATATGGGGAGGGATATGAGGGATACGAGGGATATAAGAGATAGGGACAGAGACCCCAGGGACTTCAGGGAGATGGACATGGGCGGGAGGGAGGTGGACATGAGGGGTCCTGAGAGGGATTTCAGGCCCAGGCAGGTGGAGAGGAGGTCGATGATACCGGTCCCGATACAGCCGCCACAGTTGAAGGTTAGGAAGAGCCAGCGGTTTCAATAGGAGGGAAAGAGAGTTGATGCCGGGTTGATGAAGTTATGAGGTCATGAGTGGTATGTGGCGGGAGGAATTTCTGGGACAGATGGGAGCCGCAAAGGCTGATTTGGAACTGAAAATGGAAAGATTGGAGTATCTGTGCTGGCGGGATTTATGGCCCTCGTGCCTGTCAGGAAGGAATGGTTTCTCGTTATTGTTGCTTGGTGGGGGGGAAACTAAAAAGGCTCCATTTATCTGGGATTAATTACATCAGTAAATCTCATGGTCTTCTCCTGTCCTTGTTTTGTTCTCGCCCGCTAACTCCTTCTCCAGCTGTTGTACCTCGGCTATCAACCCCTCTTTTTCCTCCGTGAGGGTCTCGATCCGCACTTTGGCCATCTCCAGCAAACTGGCCTTATTGATTCTCCGTCCTTCGGCCTTTCCTGACTCGGGTTGGTAAAGAGCTGGAGTCCATGGCGGTGCTGTTGTTGTTATCATCGGACTCTTGGGACTCTCTGTTTCCACATTCGTCTTCCCCGTCTAGCTGATCGGTGTTCTGTTCTGACAAGAGCACCTGCAGATTTTCAAACTGCTCGTTGAGTTTGTTCCGATACCTCCTTCCAATGTTGTTGTGACGCTCTCTGACACTGACGTCTTCCTCCGGTTCCTTTTTATCGTTAGGTTCAGGTTCAGGCTGCTCAAACCCCTCCTGGCGCGGTGTCTCGCCAGCTGTTTTGGTTAAAAAGTCTTCGAACCTGATTGGCGACGATATGGTTATGGTTGGATTGCTTGAGGGAGCGGTGTACAACTGAAAGTCTCCGCTGGAGGTGCCACTGGTAGATGGAGGTTCAAAGTCGGTCTTGGCATGTGTCTTGGCATTGAGGTTGTGATGCTGTCCTTGGTGTTGAAAGTCCACGGAGGAGGTCGACACATGCACTGTGTCTTCGACACGACGTCGTTTGGTTGCTGGTGAGTCGGGGTCCATCTTGAAGCTGGATGTGAAGCTGATGTGTCTGTGGATTAGTGTTCCTTCAGGCTGGAGGTCAGGTCTCTTTCATATGTCGTCTCATCTGGTCTTCATGTCCACTTGGACTACTCGGACTCATCGCCGACACTCAGATACTCAACCCTTAAGCCGAGGCCCTATCACGAGTTGACAAGATCGTGGGGGCAGCTACACGTGGGGGCGATTGAGGATATCATGATATTTTTTCCCTTGTTCCCAGTGCGCATGCGCGTGCGCGCCGTCCCGAATGTCAGTTTCCGTTCCTGGAACCCCTGAAGACAGGACCCCTGAGAAGCGACGATCAATACACTTTTCCTCTAAATCCGATTCCCGGACATTGCATGACGTCGTAATGGTGCCTGAAATCAGGTGATTGTCCAGCAAGCTGTCAATAGTTTCGTTTTGCTTATAACCTCTTAACCCTATCCTCATCAGCATTATGTCTCACCTTCAACTCCACGGGTGACGTCTCTGTTTCCCAAACACTCAACCATCACTGGCTAACACCGCAGTCTATAGCAGTAACATCCCTCGGAATATTGAGACAGACTCATCGAGATCGCGCGCGCACGACTCATTCACGGCTTACTTGGACGGCAACCGCATCCGAAAGCTGACAATCGCGGGTAGTTGCGTGTAGTTCCGGCTTGACTCGACCCTGTCCTTATCCTCGTCCTCTGCCGAGAACGCCGGCTCTTCCATGGCATCCATGACAAGCCCGGCTCGGAAGAAGGTGGTGAAGAGCTCATCCATTGGACGGTGAAAATAGACCTGCGTTTGGTTAGCTCCTGTTGCTGGCGGAACTCCGGTCTCATCTCGGTGCGAGAAGACAGTTTGGGTAAGCCAACCAACCAACTCACCTGTCGCGCCGGTTGTCCAGGAATGGCAATCCCCTTATAAGGTGGAATGTGGAGGTAGTCTTTGACGACCCTGGTTCTGACAACTTCGAGGCCACCCCCGACGTACCGGAGATCGACATTGCGGGATGCTCCGGAGGTAATGAAAACGGGGTGAAGAACGGTTGCAACGAAGCTGAATGGGAACAATGTATCAGTCAACGAGCTATCGGTCTTGGTTTCAACGAAGAGCTCAAAATGAGGCTGACATACACTCCATTGGGCTTCAAGAGTTGTGGAAGTGCCTGGACCAGTGGCTCAAGCGTGGAAACGTCCATGATGGCCATGTTCATGAGGATAATGTCGAACTTGTCCTCGTCCTGTTGCCCACCAAGGAGCGGAATTAGCGACGAGCATGAACGTCTCCATGAAGTGGGAAACATACAACGGCAGCTATCAAGGCGTCAAAGTCCTCTTTCTGAGTGACATTCAACTTGCTGAACACGACATTCGCAGTTTCTTTTTCAGTCTGATCCCTGGCTATCTTGAGCATGTTCTCGCTTCCGTCAGTCGCCGTCACCTTAGCACCATGCTTGGCCAACCATCGAGCACAAATTCCGTTTCCTGTCGCGAGGTCAAGTGCACGGCATTGCTCCTGCCCGGGCTGTTGTTTAAGATGATCGCCTAACAACCGGCGAAGGGATGGTTCTTGCAGCTTCTGCCAGTAGATATTGCCATCTTTTCCAATCGAATCGTCCCAGAAGCTCGCATTGGTTTCCCAGGAGTCAAGAGCGACCTTGCCGAGCTCCTTTTCCGACGACATTGTGGTTTGCGACTACCTGGTCGAAGAGGCAGAAGATTGAGAGGTCAGGACTAGCACTCAGCGAGGGAGGTTTCCATGCCCAGACCTTTGACTTTTTATCACAGCAAGTTGTCGTCCCCAACCCCAAACGCCAAATCCCATCTCGGCGAGCTGACTCAGACCGAGGCCAATGACACTTCTTGGCACATGTGCATGCATCCTGCAGTGCTACACTAAATTACGGAAAAAGGAAGGTAGCTCGGCAGATCTGCGATACTGAAACCAGTACTACCGAGTAGTAGTATTCTGTACAACCTTCCAAAGGAAACGACAGTAGCATTTCCCCCATTTAAAGTATAAACACCAAAAACACTTCACCTTTCTCGAGAATTGAAGCCATCACCGCATCCAAACCCTCACCACTCAAACCCCAACCCATCACCACCACCTCCCACTGTCCCACACCCTCTCACCATCATACAATCTAACCAACCCTAACCAGTCCCCGGCAACATCGGCTTCACACTCTTACTCATAACCGCCTCAACACTCCATCTAACACCCACCCCTCCCATATCCTTCTTTTCCACCCCTTCACTCCAACAATCCACAACCCCCTTAGCTCCCAACCGTCCATGCCTCTGCTTCTCTAACCACGTACCCAAGTAAAATTTCAACTCCTCGACTCCAAATCTAAACTGTTCTGATTTCTTGTTCCCATCTTTCCCATCACCACCTGCACCCACCAGTACCCGTCCATCGTCGCTAACAAGCTTGAACGCGCAAGTCTTGTAGTACATCAACACGATCCCTTCTTTTCTTTCGAGATCGGTAACGTCATACGTCCAGTACCCTTGCTTGTTGTTGTCAATTATGAAGTCGATGATGTGCCCACAGTCCGAGGCGAGGGGCGCGGTGGTGGCGTCGTAGGAGAGGAGAGGTTGTGGTTGGTTGATGGTGTCGTAGGGGCAGAAAGAGGGTTGGAGGGAGGGAGGGAAGAGGGGGGTAAATTTGCCGGTGTCGGTGCGGCGTCTTGTGAGGTTGAGGTCTGTGGAGGTGGTGGAGGTGGTGGAGGTGAAGTTGAGATTGGGGTTGAAGTTGGGAGTCGGGTAAGGACTGTCTGGAGAGTAAGCGCCGGGGGAGATGGCGGCTGCTGAGGCGAGGCTGATGAGAGCCAGTTGAGCGAGGGAGCGCATGGTGAATGTAGATATTGGTTAAACTGATACGTGAAGTACTGATGTAAATTAGTTGTGGCTGGATAAAGACTTGTGGTCAGACGCAGATAATTCGCGTCGCAGTGTCAACGAAGGTGTGTTGCCAACGTTCGAGTGTTGAGGGAGGAGTGACTATGGCAACTGCACAGGGAGAAGGAGCGGCTATGAATCGCTGCTGGGGCAGGCGTTATCGTCGACGAGAGACTTCCAACTTGTGGTTGTCACCTATAATAAGGTGGGATTTACCCTTCCTTTAACGTGATGCACAGTTGATGCTGTCACGATTTTTTGCGCCCAATTCTTACGTCTGTCCGAAGTAGACAAAGGAAGCCAGGGATCTTTTGTCGTCAATTGATGCCCCTGCTCATCGTCCTGCATGTGTATGCTCGACAGCAAGCCACCAACCACTATCTCCTTTGAGCCTCCTTTCGGGAAACAACACAGGGATCTACTTTGGGTAACACCGATGAAGAGTAGGACAAAGTCAAGCCCCCCACGTGGAGTTGCGAAACAAAGACGGTATTGCCGGTAGGTATGTTAACGCAATATTGGCGATATCGCCGGCGATACCGCCACGAACTCGAAACGGCAAGGTCACTCACGACGCCACACCGTTAGTTCGTGGCGTCTTGAAGCAAAGAGCTCATTTATTTATAGTGTTTCGTCTCAACGCGCCCGTAATCCGACTAAACAACACGAACTTGCCAACACGATAGTGAACATCTAGCCAAACGACCCGGTTTCCTACCTATCGCCAACATATCACTGGCCGGTCTCTGAGGTGCGAGATTTTTATTCATTGTTCAAGTTGATCATGAGCCTATGTTCTCTGTGATAGCAGCTGCTCGATACCTGGAGGTATGCTGTATCCTCTTGAAGTCAGGATATCGTCAGCCTTCAGCTCAGCTATAGCATGTGCTTCACAGATCGTGTTCGACCCCGTCCTTATCATATGTGACCCCGTGCTACTTCCATGTCTTCAGCTGATGATTTCACCCATTTATTCCCCCCAACCCATGATCAGTTGCACGCCCTACTTCGACTCAGTCACCCAGCAGTCACCAGACCACTCACCCACTCACTCAGCCGCGAATCTAGCCCGCCCGCCCGCTCCTCAGCAGACCTAGACCTGGAGGTACATAGCACCCAGTATCCCCGCAGTCTGCACCATAGTAGCCTTCACGCTATCGAGTCTCGCCCTCGCAACATGGAGTTCCTCCTGATTCTTCTCCAAGACGTCGGCACACCTATCGCACTCCTTCACAGCAGCAACAGAGGCGCAGGCGCTATCCGGAAACTCTCCCGCAAGCTTCTGGCCCAGCTCTTTCAGCTGCGTCATCATAGCTGTTGCCCGGTCCATCTCCGCCTGAACAGCTGTGACAAGGGCAGTATTGGGCTTGGAACAGTAGTTCAAA